AACCTCCTGAGTAGCTAAGAGTAGCTACAGGTGTGACCCACCAGTGCCCAGCCCGCTGAAACTTATACATAATAACAGATTTGACTTTTAGACTCTCAAGGGAAGGGTAGAAAACAATGTAACCTTGGTTTTGATCAGGAAGAGCTAAGCCTCTGATCTAAAGCAGTGGTTTTACACCAGGCATGGTGGCGGCGCACATCTGTAATCCTGGCTCTCAGGAGGCTGACTCAGGAATTGTGAGTTCAAGTTCAGCTAGAACTACACAGTCCGACTATATGTCAATAAAACAAGAACAAATCGCTGAACACTGGTGGCTCACCTGTATAATCCTAGCTTCTCAGGAGGCAGAGATCTGAAGATTGAGGTTTGAAGCAAGCCTATGCAGGAAAATCTGTGAGACTCCAGTTAACCACCCAAAAAGCCATAAGTGGAGTGGTGGCTCATGGGAGTGCCATCATTCAGTGAAAAAAGCTAAGGCACAGTATCTGGGCCCTGAATTCAAGAATAAGTACTGACAAGGCAATAACAAAAACCTTTCTTTGGGCTGGGTTTGTAGCTCAGTGGTACAGTGCTTGCCTGAAGACACAAGGACCTAGGTTTGATCATTGGAAGAAAAGAAATGAGCTATTATTAAACAGTGGTTCTAAAGTCCACTGCATACTAGACTTCCTGGGTACTTAAGTGCCCTGTGCCTGGGTCTGCACCACAAAGCACCTGGGACACAGGGCCAGGCACTAGTGAAGCATCTTCTGGTGCTCCTAATGTGCTACTGAGACTCAACCCCAGCTGAGCACAGAAAGCCCTCAGTCTGGTGCCAGAGCTCCAGCAGAATGACCTGTGCCTGCCCTCTCTCAGTCCTGCCTGTCAGGATTGAGGACAGTCCTGGATGCCTGTCTCAAGACCAGAGAGGCCCCTACATACCCTCCACTCCCCATTGCAAAAACACAGCTTTGTTACGGTTGCATTGACACGCAATATGCCACATGTTTAAAGTAGACAATCTGGCAAATTTTGCCACATATGTGCTTGAGAAACAATCGTAATGGTCAGGGTCATGTATATAGCGTTCAAGTCTGAGCTGGAGGAGTCTAGTCTTCTACTCTTGTATCCTGTTTCTTTCTGTGTGTGTGCCAGTACTCAGGAGCCCGGGCCTGGGTCCTCTCCTTTAGTTTCTTCCCTCAGGACTAGCGCTTTACTACTTGAGCCACAGCCCCACTCCTGGACTTTTGCTGGCTAATTGGAGATAAGAGTCTTATGAACTTTTCTGCTGAGACTGGCTTTGAACCTTGCTCCTCAGATCTCAACCTCCTGAGTAACTAGGGTTACAGGCATGTGTGCCCAGAGTATAGTACGGTTCCTGAATGCTCATTTGCCTGCAGACATGGTGCTGGTGACAAGGACGCAGAGTCACCGGTGCACACTCTCTTCCCTGGAGATCTGGTTACAGGCCCAGCTGGGACATGAGCGAGGCAATACTTGTATTTGAGAGACAGGGAGGGTGGGGGAGAGCTGGCCAGAGGAGAGCATGGCTTGCTGGTTAGTCAGGTGGAGGTATTGATTAGGTGCTATGGTCTAAATGTTTGGGTCTCCACCTGTATTACCAAAACAAATACTGGAGATAAATCAACTTAAAAGGAGGAAAACTTGGGCTGGGAAGGTAGCTCAGCGGTAGAGTGCATGCCTTGCAAGCATGAGGCCCTGGGTTCAATTCCTCAGCACCACATAAACAGAAAAAGCTGGAAGTGGCGCTGTGGCTCAAGTGGTAGAGCGCTAGACTTGAGCTGATAGAGCTGAGGGACAGCGCCCAGACCCAGAGTTCAGGCCCCATGACTGGCAAAAAAAAAAAAAAAAGGAGGAAAACTTTATTCTCACTCACAGTTTTGAAAGTTTCAGTCCATGATTGCGTCCAGCACTCCTGTGCTGGACCTGTAGAGACATAGTAAATCATGGCAGCATCTTGTGGCAGCCAGGATGCAAAGAGGAGAGGAGCAGAGGGGCTGAGGTCCTAGTATCCCCTTCAAGAGCCCGCCCCCAGTGACCTCACTTCCTTCTCCCAGGTCCCACCTCCTGAAGATTCAAGCATCTGTCCCCAGTACCATCCCTAGCTGGCAATCAAACCTTCAATAGACACATGGGACCTTCAAGATCCAAATGATAGCTCCTCAATTTGTGTGTTAAAGCCGACTGTCCAATTTGATGGTATTAGACAAAATGGCCTGTCTGTCACTGATAGTTGTGGTGGCACACACCTAAAATCCCAGTATCTGGAGGAAGAGATAGAATTACTAGTCTGAGGCCCACCTGTGCTACATAGTGAATTCAAGGCCAACCTGGCTCTATAGTGAAACCCAACCCCAAAAAGAAAGAGGACCTGGAGCTGGGAAGGTGGCTCAGTGGTAGAGTGCTTGCCTTGCATGCATGAGTCCCTGGGTTCAATTCCTCAGCACCACATAAGCAGAAAAAGCAGGAAATGGCGCTATGGCTCAAGTGGTAGAGTGCTAGCCTTGAGCTGAAAGCCAAGGGACAGCTCCCAGGCTCAGAGTTCAGGCCCCATGACTGACAAAAAAGAAAAAAAAAGGAGGGTCTTTGGGAGGTGATTAATCAGGTCATAAGGATGGAGCCCTTACGAATTGCATTAGTCCCTGTATGAAAGGGACCCCAGAGAGACCTTTCTCCTACCTGTGAGGTCACCCCGAGAAGAAAGTCATGCAGTAGGGAAACAGGCCTCCATCAAACAATGAATCTGCCAGCCAAAGCTTTCAGTCTCCACAGCTGAGAAATTGGTGTTTTGTTTTGGTTTTGTTCTTGTTTGCAATCTCAGTCATCTATTACAGCTATCGAAACAGACTGATACATTAGGTATTTGAAGGGAAGGGGCATTAGGATAAAAGAACATCTCAGGCTGGAGGTGGAGGTGTGTTGGAGGAACAGCAGGTGTGGGCTGGGTGTTGTGAGTAATCTGTGTATGTGTGTGTGTGTGTGAGAGAGAGAGAGAGAGAGAGAGAGAGAGAGAGAGGGAGGGAGGGAGGGAGGGAGGAAGAGAGGGAGGGAAGAAGAGAGAGAGAGAGGCCGCTGGAGTCCAGCCTGTGCTGTGAGCTCTGCTCTCTTTGAGCCGCTGCAGGGAAGTGTCAGGATCTGATCTCCTCAGAAAGTTTGCTCTGCCCACACCACCCAAGGTTGCCAAACAAGGTTAGAAAACCTTTGCAAAAGCAGCAAGGGGGAAGACATGCATGATGAGGGTAAGGCCATGTCACGTAAGAATCAAAAGTAACTGTGAACATAGAAGCCATCCCACAAACACTCTACATGTACGTGTGTCTTGAACATTATTTTATTCAGACAACAGCAGTGAGTGCCTCTGAAGAGTGGTTCAGGAAGCCCAGGCCTTGTCTGGCACCGGGTCTTTGAGAAGTGACAGGCATGCTGTGGACAGAGGAGCAGCAGGGGGCGCTCTGTAGGAAAAGGCCTCACAGCCTACTGCTGGGCCCAAATCCTAACCCACCTCCAAACAGAAGGGAAATAGTCTGTGAAGCAAGTTAGAGAGGTCTGCCAATTTAGTTATGTCTGTGGCCAAGGGTGTAGCTCAGTGGTAGAGCAGTTGTCCAGCATATGCGATTGCCCTGGGTTTAATCCCAGCATCCCCTCCCCACATACACAAATCCATCATAAAGTTATCTCTGCATTAACAACTTTGGCCATTAGTAGCTCCAAAAAGCGTGTTCTATTCCACTTTTATCCCAATTTTATTCCACTTGCCCTTGAGAACAAGAGTAAACACATGTAGTATCAGTGACAATGCTTTCAGCAACAAATAACAGGCAGATACTCAAACTGGCCTAACAGCAAAGGAGATTCAGAAGCATGAGGTATTGTTCGATCAAGGCTGGGTTCCATTTCTTTGTAGTTCTCAGCTCTGCCCTTTTCTGTGGTATGTATTCATCAGCTCATGGAGGATGCTCACTGTAAGCCAGGTATAACACCTGTGCCTCACAACTTGTTTCATTCTCATGATAATTATGAAGTAGGTCCTTTTTTTATTGGGAGGTTTGGGGTTTGAACTCAGAGTATTATGCTTGTTAGACAGGTAGTCGACCACTTCAGCTACACCTCCAGCCCTTTTTGCTTTTATCAGCTTTCAAATAAGAGTTTTGCTTTTTGCCCCATCCAGCCTGGATAGTGATCCTCCTATTTAATGCTTTTTAGAGCTGGGATGACAGGCACACATCACTGTGCCCAGATTTTTTTTTTACTGGTTGACATGGAGTCTTATGACCTTCTCCCTACCTCCACCCCAGGTTTGAACTCAGAACCTTCACATTGCTAGGTGCTTTTAGGCTGAGTCCTGATTTTACTAGTTATTTTTAAGGTAGAGTCTCACTTCTTTCTCTGGGCACACATCTGGGAAGTCAGTTATGTGCTCAGCAGAACTGAAGCAGTCCAAGGCCTCCAATCCCCATTTCTGCTCTCCAGAAGAGTCTCTAATCCTCCAAATTTCCTAACAAAGTTGAGGCCTCCTCTAGTCTATCCACTTATTCCAGGTATTCACTCTATGGAAAACATGGACAGAAATCCACTGATTAGCTTGAGCTCACCAGGGTCCACCCTGGGGCTGGGAGTGGACTCAACCTAGCCAGAACTGTTTGGCTGCTTCATCATAGAGTAGGAATGGGATATATCTACAACATATTAGAATATTATTCTGGGTGTTTTCCCTAGTGAGGACAGTCGATGTCAATCACTCCAGTGTGGTACGCGTCTCATTTGCTATTTAAAATAAAACTGACTGTATGGCTTACCAAAGCCCTCAACACAACAAAGAACATCCCCTACCAAAGATACTTTATTGCTTTTCCTTCCACAATTGACAGTTAAGAACAAATAATAATAGCAAATAAAATACCTTACAAGAGCATCAGCTATCATATATCTATCTATCTATATATATATGACACTATTAACATTAAAAAAAAGAACATGCGGTATGTGGTTAACCCATCAGTATGTATTTTGTGTGTGTGAGTGTGTGTGTGTGTGGTGTTGGTGGTTACAGCCAGCCTCTGTCACCAGAGCAGAATGGGTCCTAAATGAAGTCTGTCTGGAACCTGTATCATGAGGCTTTGCATCTGGACTTGTGGACACATCTCTGACCCTGAGCCACACAGAAAGGTAGTCATGTCAAGGGGCTCACACTGATCACTGGTGGCTTCTGGCTTTTATCTAGTTCCCAGGCTCTTTGTCTGGGCAGAACAACACTAGGGTGAGCCCATCTGCTCCCAGGAGAGACCCCAAGGGAGGAGCTGGAACCTGGTGCCTACTCCTTATTCATCTTCCCACCACATCAATCCCTGCTAGCCAGATCAGGCTGTTCACCCTCTGCCTCTCATACCCATTAGCTTTTCACAAACTCCATATCACATTCTGGAAATATTTCTAATCTGAGCCTTCTCATTAACATCCAAAAGTTCTTACATTCCCAATATAACTCTTGAAAAGGTTGAATACCTCTTTCCCATTCTTGAAGTGAAGCCCTATCACAAATACTCCTGGCAGTTCAAGGATGGCTAAATCCCTACTGGGAAGGAGAAGAGTGGTGGCATCCATGTTCTAACCTGTCCACTGTACCCTAAGAAACATCATGCCTTCGTTCCCTCCATTGCAGGGCTGGTGTAGCAGGCTCCCAGGAGGATCAGGTCATGTATCCACCTCTGTAGTTGCGATTCAAGAGAGCAGCCATCTCCCAGGCTCGAAGAATGCTGGGAGTGTCCTCCACACTGGAAATGCTTGTGTTGCCATCAAGAAAAGAACAAAACCCAACCACTGTTTTAGTACTGGGTACAGATTGGAGAAAATCAATTATGTTACAAGTGCTGGTAGCACATATGCATATTTAATTTCACAGGTACTTCTTTAACAAGCTATGATCCTTGTCAGCATTTAGAGGGACCAACGGTGCTGGCCAGAAGGAAATACCAGAGGCCAGAGCTTCATGCTGCTCACCGATCTGCATCTCAGACTCATGGTGTATATGGCCAGAGAGATGGAGGCGTCCAGATTTTTTTTTCCATTCTAGACAGAGAGATTAACAGAGATAAGTCTCCTAGAAAATCAGTCCTAACAGACATATATGAGATAATTTAAATCTGTAGGTTCTGAACATTATTTTTGTTTTCTTCAGCTTTCTCCCTATTCTTCCTTATGGGAGGGTTTTTGTTTTGGTTTGGTTTTTTTGGTTTTTCGTTTTACAGTTTCAATTGAGTATTGAGTATGGAGGCCTGAGTTCAAACTCTAGTACTAACAAAAATCCCATGGGGTAGCGATGGGTAGATGAAGACATACTTTGTGTGTGTGTGTGTGTGTGTGTGTGTGTGTGTGTGTGTGTGTGTGTGTGTGTGTCTGTGTGTGTACCATTTCTGTCCTAAGAATTTCAATTTGCAAAGCCAAACAGAAGGGCTCACCTAGTAGTCGGGGCGCGGGATACTCTTCTGGCTGATGTATGGGTTCTGTTCAGGAGTGTTTCTGGAGGCTGAGGTTCTGACTTTGGGGAATATGTTCCCTTCTGCTCCAGCATTGCTGAAGCCGGTCTGCTGCAGGCGCAGGTTCTGAAAGTCGTTGTCAATCAAGTGCTGTTCTTCTATGTTTTTGCCTTTGTTCTTTGATCTGAAAGCAATGACAAGAATTAGGATCTGACAATGGCAGAAGACTCCTTGACATAAATGCTAATTTTTCTTTAAACACTCTTTTTTTTGGGGGGGGGGGGGTGGAGGGCGGTGTGCCAGTACTGAGGCTTGAACTGTGGGCCTCAGTGCTGTCCTTTCATTTTTTGTTCTTTGTTTTTTTCTCTCAAGGCTAGCACTCTACTACTTGAGCCACACCCCCCACTTCTGGCTTTTGGGTGGTTAATTGAAGATAAGAGTCTCACAGGCTTTCCCAGCTGGAGCTGGCTTCAAAGCATAAACTTCAAATCTCAGCCATCTGAGTAGCTAGGATTACAGGTGAGAGCCATTAGCACCATTTTATGGTGATTTTTTATTTTTATTTTTTTTTTAATTTTTTTTTTTTTGGGTCCGGTTGTGGGGCCTGAACTCTGGGCCTGGGCGCTGTCCCTCAGCTCTTCAGCTCAAGGCTAGCGCTCTACCACTTGAGTCACAGCACCACTTCCGGCTTTTTTCTTTTTGCTTATGTGGTGCTGAGGAATCGAACCCAGGGCCTCATGCTTGCAAGGCAAGCACTCTACCACTGAGCCACCTTCCCAGCCCCTTATGGTGATGTTTTAAAGTCTGTTCTACTTCCAGGATCACGTATACTAATATACTCAGAGGAAAATGAAGGTATGACAAAGACAGATGAGTCAATGGTGGTGGAGAATTTCCCCCTTGATTCCCCTCCCCTGTCCACAAGAGGAAACCAGTTGGAAACCAGTGCTCGGTGTGGGGGTGGTACCTCCATCCTCTTACCTTACAGAGGCAATGAGGGCAATCACCAAGGCAAGGATGAGGATGGCAGCAATGGTACCCACAATAGTGAGGATCAGCTGAAATTCTGAAAGGGAAAAGAATAGATTAGACTCCCTTAAGCTGGCCTCTGTCTACTGCACAGGTACATGTACTTCCGGTTACTCCCAGGTCTGAGGCTGCTCGTGCTCTGCTCTCTGACCCTGCAGAGCCGGGCTGGGTAGGTGGCTCATCAGCTGTGGCAGCCCACTCCTGAGCTTTGTAGGAGCTGGGATCACATGAGTCCCACACGTCCCATGTTACCTCATTGCCTTTACCTGCTCTCCAGACCTCCCCTATATCCGCCAGCCCAGGGACAAGGCAGGGGCTGAGGTTGTGGCTAACAGAGCAGCCAGGCCATGGCTTGACGGTCTTGGTGAGGGAAGAGCCTGGAGGTCCCTTGACACCCACTCTGCTCCTGCACCTTCAACGCTGGCCTCACGACCAACTATGAGTGTGCGCACTCACAGGTCCCAAAACCTCAGCATGATAAAGCAGTGACAGGATGCACTCAGAGTCTTACACGATTACATAGTGAAACGAATGTCAGTCAAATCAAGTTCACCCATTGTATTTTTAAAATCTTGCTTGAAATTGAAAAAGAAAACATACAATGAAGCCCATGGCTAATACCGTAGATCTCTCTTTCTGCTGCACCATTGCCACAAATGCATCCTCCCCCCGCCCTCAAAAAAAAAATCCTGGGTTCATGGGACCACCCACAGTGAAGTCTCCAAGGGCCTGAAAGGTCACAGGCTCCCAATCTATCTTTGTTGTTGGTGGTGGTGGTTGTGGGGTTTGAACTCTGGGCCTGGGCACTGTCCCTCAACTCTTCAGCTCAAGGCGAGCGCTCTACCACTTGAGTCACAGTGCCACTTCCGGTTTTCTGGTGGTTTATTGGAGATAAGAGTCTCACAGACTTTCCTGCCTGGGCTGGCTTTGAACCATGATCCTCAGATCTCAGCCTCCTGAGTAGCTAGGATTACAGGAGTGAACACCGGTGCCCGGCTAAATCTATCATTTTATTCATGTGGAAACTGAGAGCCAGAAGGAAGAAATGACTTGGCAGAACTGTTCTGGCAACCAAGCCCTCCACACGTGAGTGTGGGCACAATGCTTCCAGTGCTATTTGCACTGGCACAAAGCTGGTGCTCATAGACAATTTCAGATCACTGAGCTTTACTGAATGCATTGTCTAAATTACCAAATGTTTAAAGTTTGCGTTGTTCCAGTCTGGGTGAGAGATGGCTTTAGGATGGGATGAAGCAATTGAATTTGCAAGAGGACATCTAAGCCAGTAAATAATGAAGGCAAGATTTCAGAACTAATGTCTGATTTCCAGGCCTGCTCTCCTACAACAACCAATTTTTGAATACATGGATCTTTTATCCTTTCTAGTAGCAGAGCATCCATATTTTAGCTGATGTGGGCCATCAGAATAATGACTTAAGATGCTCTTTGGATTGGAATGGGCCCTGAGGCCTGAGCCCACACTGAGCCTGAGTTCTGTGATTTCCAAAGCAGAACTGGTACCCAGAACCCAAGAGGAGCATGGAATGCAGGGCCCAGAAGACAAGTTACAGACAGACTTTTTTGATGAAGGAAGCCAGACCGAACCAGGTATTAACAGGGGTCCTTGTTCCATTCTCAGATGACTTGAATTCGGGGCCTGGGTGTTGTCCCTGAGCCTTTTTTGCTCAGGGCTACAGCTCTGCAACTTGAGCCACAGCTCCACTTCTAGTGTTTGTGATGGTTAATTGGAGATACAAGTCTCATGAATTTTTCTGCCTCAGCTGGCTTGAAACCTCAGATCTCAGCTTCCTTAGTAGCTAGGATTAAAGGCGTGAGCCACCAGTGCCTTATCTATAATAGCACAACATCTGTACTCACGGTCTTCACAGTCCTTTCCATTGTAGCCAAATGGACACCTGGAATAGGGTGAAGAATGAGAAAATACATGAGAGAGTGTGCTGGAGTCTCCGTCCCACGCTACTTCCATTTCTCCTTTTCTATCTCCTCTTCTTCTGCCCTCCCCGGCTCCTCTCTCTTGCTTTCCTTATGTTCCATTCTTTTTTTTCCCAGAAGAATACCTTCTAGTTAGGCCTACGAGGCCTCTTGCTCCTCCAGGAAGACTCAGCGACCAGGTGACACAGAGCCCAAGAGGCACCGAGACCCTCTCGAGGGTGATGCCACACAATCCTGCCACCTGCTCCTGCTCTGTCAGCACTGGCATGCCATCTGCAGGCAGCGCCAGTTCCCTCCTCTGCAACTGCACAGTTAATACATTTCCCACGGTGTGTGGTCACTCGCTTCTATCTCGTGTGGTTCCTGGACACAGAGAATGCTCAGACACCACTGGAGAAGAAGAGGAAGACGCTCTCCACACCTGCCAGCTCTGCCGGCTCACAGCTGCCTGGCTCTCCCCTGTATGTTGTTTGTAAATTCTAGCCCCGTTAGGTAAAAACAAGGTGATTTCTCTTACTTTTCACAGAACCCTTTGTCATTCTTGTAGCCTGGCAGGCACTCACACAGGGAGGCTCCATTGCTGTCCCTTATACATTGCTTTTTGTTCTCAGCATTGCAGTTGTCAGGACAATGTATACCTAGAGTTTCAAGGCAGAATGATTTCTGAGGAATTTTCAAAAACAATCTTTTTTTTTTTGGTGCCAGTAACTGGGGCCCTATCCTTTAGTTTTTTCCACTCAAGACTAACATTCTACCATTAGAGCCACAGCTCTATTTTGCCTATTTTGGTGGTCAGTTGGAGATAGCATTTCATCAACTTTTCTGCTCGGGATGGCCTCTGTGATCCTCGGATCTCAGCCTCCTGAGTAGCTAGGATTACAGGCGTGAGCCAGTAGCGCTGGCTGGAAACACTCTCTTTAACCCCAAAGCGAAGAAAACATCTTTTCCACATTGCTTTTTTTTCTAAGTAAAATCAGATGGCCATTGCCTCTACCAAGACATACTCCCTGCAAAGATGCACATAAGTCACTTCCTAGCCCAGATTCAGTCCTGGTGCAAAACCAAAATTCATGCCACTAAGTCTTGGAATGTATATAGAAGTCCAAGCGGTCAAGTCTGTATTTTGCAAATGCAAAAAAGGAGAGTAAGGGCTGGGAAGGTGGCTCAGTGGTAGAGCGCTTGCCTTGCATGCCTGAGGCCCTGGGTTCGATTCCTCAGCACCACATAAGCAAAAAGAAAAAAAGCAGGAAGTGGCGCTGTGGCTCAGGTGGTAGAGCGCTAGCCTTGAGCTGAAGAGCTGAGGGACAGCGCCCAGGCCCAGAGTTCAGGCCCCACGACCAGACCCCTCCCCCCCCCAAAAAAAAATAAAAAAGGAGAGTAAGTGAGCTGCAAAGAATATTTAAAATACTTACCATTACAAGTAGAAAATGGGTTAGGTCTTTGCAGCCCAGTTTTGCATTCACATAGTAAAACATCAATGCAGTTATTACCATCATATTTACAACCAGAAGATTCACATGGATTCATCCCTGTAAGAAGTACAAATTAAAAAAAATATGTTCATCAAGACAATAGAGTAGCAAGCCATGTGCTGGTGGCTCACGCCTATCATCCTAGCTACATAGAGGCTGGGATCTGAGGACTGAGGTTCAAAGCTAGCCTGGGCAGAAAAATCTCAGAGTGATTGTTAACCTTCAATTAACTAGTAAATAATCAGAAGTAGAAGTGTGGCTCAAGTGGTACAGTGCCAGTCTTAAGCGAAAAAATCAGCAAGAGCTTGAGGCTCTGAGCTCAAGTTCAGTCCTGCCACAAGAACAAAAAAGGAAGGAAGGAAAGAAGGGAAGAGAGAAGGACAAGGGAGAGGGAAAAAGGGAGCAAGAGAAAGAAAAAGAGAATGACAAAGAAGAGAGAGAAAAATAAGAAATGAAGGAAAAAAAGAAAAAAGGAGATTCTGCAACTTTTAGCGCGGAAAAGAGAATCTATTTTGCCACTGAAGCTGGCGGCAGAAATGGTGCTGTCCTCTGAGCTTTGAGTTGCTTGCTTCCATATCAGGGTGCTTTGTGTTCTTGTAGCTCATGCTGAGTCTCAGAGTAGAAGAAGATGTTGAGAGGCATTGACCACAAAGAAATCTTCAGGACATGGATCAAATGTTTTCACAATTATTCACAAGAGCCAAAACAGAGCATTCATGGGGTGGGGGTGGGGACTACCAATATTATCCTTTTTGAGGGGAGGGTAGTACTAAGACTTGAACTCAGGGGCCTGGGTACTGTCCCTTAGGTCTTTCACTTAAGACTGGCACTCTACCTTTGGGTCATAGCTTCACTCCCAGCTTTTTGCTGGTTAACTGTAAATAAAAATTCTCACAGAGTTCCCTGCCCAGACTGGCTTTGAACCATGATCTTCAGGATCTCAACTGAGTAGTTAGGATTACAGTTATGAGCCACCAGTGACCAGCTTTCCCAATATTATCTAGAGGAATATACAAGTTGTTCTTGGCTGGTGACTACCCTGACTGGCCAGTTCCCATGCTGATGGAGACCCCTCGGCCTCCTCACAAGTGCGGTAAGTCTGAGCTAGTCAGAAGCAGAGTGTGTGATAAGATGGGGGGAGGGGAGCAGGAATTCTGCCTGTGTGAATTGCTACTTTAGAAGTGACAGCCCCTTAGCAGGCAAGGACAAAGAGACATCAGAGATGTCACAGACATGCATACTATAGATGTTGAGGGAGAAAACACTGACACTGTCAGGAAAGAAGAAGTTTTAATTCCACTGCAAGAGACTGTGGAAGATAAAAAAAGTAGTTCAAGAAGGTGAGAAGCTTTATCTGCAACAATGCAAATGTGAGTTGTAAGAAATCTAGGGGAGGGCCAGAGGATTGAAAACCTGAGAGATGAGAAACACTTTGAGGAGAAAACCAAAGTAAAAAGAGAACCCCAGGATGGGAAGGTGGCTCAGTGGTAGAGCGCTTGCCTTGCATGCCTGAGGCCCTGGGTTCAATTCCTCAGCACCATATAAGCAAAAAGAAAAAAGCTGGAAGTGGTGCTGTGGCTCAAGTGGTAGAGTGCTAGCCTTGAGCTGAAGAGCTGAGGGACAGTGCCCAGGCCCAGAGTTCAGGCCCCGTGACCGGACCCCTCCCCCCCAAAAAAAGCTCCAACAAAGAAGAAATAAAGACTAAAGTGAAAAGTAAGAAAAATGTGGATGTGTGTGCATGCACATGTATGTGTGTGGGCGTGCATGTATGCAGCTCTAGTACCATTTGCTGGAAAATTACACCTAGATGGAAAAAAATGGTGTATGCTATTAAAAGACAATCAAATTGCCAGCGGATGGGACAATTCAGAAGAGCCACTGTATTCTCTAATACAATTCTCAGTGTTTTCTCCCATAACATTTATGTTTAAGGTCCTGGTGAGAATCTTTTCAATATTTCAAAGAAATAGAAAAGGTGATGAAAAACTATAAATGAGCAGGATTTGTTCATGATTTCAAAGAGAAATGAGTCTCTAGATTAGGTGTGGGGGTTACAGTCATTAAAAATCAAATATTGGGCACTGGTGGCTCATGTCTGTAACCCTAGCTATTCGGGAGGCTGAGATATAGAGAAAACAGGTCAAAGCCAGACCAGCAAGGCTCTAATCTCCAATTCACCGCTGAAAAGCTGGAAGTGGCCCTGTGGCTCAAATGGTAGAATGCAAGCCTTGAGCACAAAGAGGCTCAGGGACAGGGCCCAGGTTCTTAGTTCAAGTCCCAGGACTGGCAACAACAACAATAACAATAACAATAATAATAAATAAGTAACAACAACAGTAACATTTAAATGTTTAAGGCATAAATCATAAAAGGAGTAAAAGAAACATGAGGAAGGCAGAGAGGGACCAGAAGAGTGGACAGAGGCAGCGCAGGGAAGAAGCACTGAAGAAGGGGAGCTATGTGCTAACAGCCACAGAGAAGCCAGTGAGTGCACTATGGCCACCAGCGACATTTGCACTTGGAAAACAGGACACACAACAGCCCCTCTGGAGCCGGTACTAACTGATCCTTTTCTAGGGTGAAGAGCTTATGATGACTGCTGTGAGGAAATCTCATCAACTCATTCTTACATTTCTGGGCTGACACCCTTTGGCAGGGTCTTTTGTGCAGCACTTCCTCCTACCATTTGGCCTGGCTGCTTAGGAGAGTAATACATGTGATAAAGCAGAGGCTGGAGAAACCCTTGTACAATGACGTTTATCTTCTAGCTGCTCTTGAAAGTCTTTTACCCTAGCCTGCTAGAGGAGGAAACACTGTGTGGAGCTGAGATGGAGCCATCTGAGAGATGCCAGACCCCAACTCTGTGTGTGTGTGTGTGTGTGTGTGTGTGTGTGTGTGTTTGTGTGTGTGTGTGTGTGTGTAGTGATGAGAGATGCTTAACCAGGCCCTGTGGAGATCAGTCAAGTTTGGCCTCTCCGTGGAACCATGTGGAAATCTAACCCATGGGCCTGGGAAATTGGCTCAGTGGTAGAGTGCTAGCCTGGCATACATGAGGCCCTGAGTTCGATTCCTCAGGACCACATAAGCAGATAAAAAGCTGGAAGTGGCCCTGTGGCTTAAGTGGTCGTGTTCTAGCCTTCAGCTAAAGAGCTGAGGGACAGCGCCCAGCCCTATGGGAAAAAAAAAATCTGTGCCACAGACATTACAATAAGGAAATATTGATATTTTAGGCCACTAAGTTTTGGGATGGTCCCTAGTACAGCATAAACATGAGTTTTGACAGCTACACTGAAGAGGGTGAGTTTGTGTATACGCATTTGTAAAGCTGTGAGTTGGTGTGATCCTTCTGATTTCTCATTTCCTCCTATTTCCTTGCCCAGAGGTGACATATCTGGTTTGTACTTCCCAGGAGAATGCTAAAGATGTCAATGTGATGACATGGGACACAGCTAGAAAGGAACAGGAGGCAAGTGAGAGGAATGGAAGGAACAGATTTAAAGTCAGCAGATAGCCATGGGTTCTGATCGTGTAGCCCTTGGCCCTTCTGATATATAATGGAAAGGTTTACAAAAAGTCAGGTAGACCTTTGTATTTGAGGAGAGTTATTTACCCAAATTATACTTACTAATATTAACTGAAATATCTGGGTCATTCTCTGCTGCCCGGAGAATGAGAACAGACACACTGGACTCGGTTTGGTTTGTATCTTCTGCAAAAATGTTTTGAACAGAAGCCCGCACCAGGCCTGCAGCACGCATTAGGGATCTTGCTGACCCACTGAGAATGCTGCAAAGGAAAGGAGCCTGTCACTTGATGAACGGAAGAGCCAACAAATGAATAGGGTTTCAAATCTCTCAGCCCTCGTCCTGACCCATAGGCCTGACCCCTAACCAGGGTCCAAATATGGAGACCCAGTCCTGAACCATATTAATCTTTCACTATGAGTTTTTCAATTTCATGTGTACCTAGGGAAAATCTCTGGGGAAAACACAACAACAATGTCCCGTTGGAAAACTTTGTAGGAAAATCGTGGCTACTTATTTTTGGGAAAGTTGGGGATAACTTTGTTAGGTCTGGGAGCTTAGAGTTAACCAGATGTATGTGGAGGAATGTCTGACCAAATAGCTGCCACTCTCAGCAGGATGGTGAGGATATAAGTTTCTCTCACTTCTTGAGACACCCTCTCAGCCTTTTTTCTTTCTTTTAGATAGGGTCTCATCTTTTGGCCTGTGGTTAGCCTTGAACCAAGATCCCACTATGCACAGTCTTCCATATGGTTGAGATTACAGGAAAATACCACAATGACCAGCTTATTGAGTGAGATGGGATGGGATTCCCATTAATTCTTGGCTTCAACTGTTGTAGAACCATGATTTCTCTGCTTTGTCTCCTGAGAAGCTTGGATTACAGGTGTGAGCTACCACACCTAATAAGAATAGATTTTAGCTGTGAAATATTTTCTCAGAGCAGCTCAGTGAATCCTCCAATCAGAAACCCATGCATACAGAAGGCCAATTGTATATGCTCCTGCCTTCTCCTGATCCACAAAGGGTTGTACACACCTTTTACAAATAAATAGAATGATAGACCAGAAAACGTCAACACTCCACATGCTGCTTTTTTGTCCAGCTCCACTCATCTTTGTACATTCTTGGCTTGAAAGCTTGTGTATTCATGTGCTTCAGAGAAGGCTGAGGTGGAACTGCTAACTTCAAGAGAATTCACTTGGTCTCACATGCTGAATGCTCAATAAACACTGTTCTTACAACAGAAGCAGCTCACTACGAGCCCTTCAGTCATCCTGTGTGTGAGTGGGCAGGGTGTTCTCTGCCTGCAATGCACACTCCAAACAAGCTGGTCCAGATGATGCTCTGGGCCACAGGCACAAGTTGCTGAGCAACCATCAGCCTCTTACCTTCTCTAGGCCACACCCTTCCATCCTGGCTACACAGTCAGTGTGACCTTAGCAGGGATGGCATGCACATTCCTCTCTGCAATGACCTGTCTAACCACCTTCTTGTACATGAAACTTGCCATGATAAGACCATCATGTCACATGGGGAAACTCAGAGGAAGATGAGAAATGAAGCAAACACCTCCGAGCCTCCAAAGCACCCAGCAGTCTAGAGCAGACTTACCTTACTTGAGCAATCACAGTCTGCTTATAATCAGTGTCCTTCAGTGCATCTGAAAACTGGGGGAAAGAATAGATTTAATAAAGTAAAACCAATTCAAACAGGATTATCTAGGTTTAGAACATACACTTCTAAGGCCGGTTAAGGTTCATGCAAAGTTCTTCTTTTTCTACTGGACTCCTCATCTTTAGACTTGAACTTCAGGCCTGAGCACTGTCCCTGAGCTTTCTTGCTCAAGGGTAGTGCTTTACTACTTGAGCACAGCTCCATTTTTGGCTTTTTGGAGATGAGAGGCTCGTGGACTTTTCTCCCTGGGCTGGCTTCCAATTGCAATCCTTAGATCTCAGACTCTTGCATAGCTAGGACTACAGGCATGAGTCATCTGAGCCACATCAGTGCATAGCACTCTTCCATGTTGAGAATTATTTTACTTATTTAAGTCATTAATCATAGCAGGAGCTACCAGGGCCAGCTCTTTTGATTTCTTCATTGGTTTAACTATTTATTGCAGTGCTCAGATTTCTTTAAAGCCTTGTGCATGCTAAGCAGGCACTCTCATACTGAGCTCCACCCTGATGGTAGAAGTTGAACCCAGGGCCCTTTCCATACTAGGCAAGGGTTCCACAACCCCATTGAGCTGCATGGCCTGAAATAACTTACTTTACAATAGTGTTAGGCTCCTTATTCATCTAAATCTATATGAATGGTTTATACAACAATGGGTGAGGGTTGGCTAGAGCAAGAGTCCCAGGGCCTCTGCCATGCCAAGGGCTCTGCTTCAGGCAGAAGATCAAGGAGAAGCCCTGTGAATGGGCAAAGATGGAGGGGTGCCTTTCACTTTGTGAACCTCTGCAACAGAGTTGGTGTGCACCACCCAAAGACCCCACCCTCTCCAGCTCCACAGGAGAACCAACACTCATCTAGAGAAAGGAAGGTGGAGAATACTTACAAATGCATTGATTTTATCATGTAACTCTTGGTAATTCAAAGACTGTTCATCATCCAAGCCAGATGTGTCAGGTACTTTTACTGTAATCTCTCTGAGGAATGTCGTTCCTGAAAATCAAGCAGAATCTCTCTGTAGTAGCTCATGGAAAAGTCTGTGGGACTTGATTCTGGCAAAAAGCCAGAAGCAGAAGTATTGTTTCTCAAGTGGTACAAGGCCAGATGAAGGAAAATGCCAGGCGGACTTGCGTGCGGCCCACACTTGTAATCTTAGCTACTCAAGAGTCTGAGATCTGAGGATCAGGGTACATGTAAAGTCTATGAGCATCTCATCTTCAATTAATTGCTCAAAAACCACAAGTGGTGCTGTGGCTCAAAGTGGTAGCATACTAGCCTTGAGCCATAAAGCTCAGGGCAGCGCTCAGGTCCTGAGTTTAAGCCCCATGACCGAAAAAACAAACAAAACAAAAGCAAAAAGCTAAGCAACACCGCCAGCATCTGAGCTCAAACCTCAGACAAAAAAAATTAAAAAGAAAAGCCAAGCTCCCAGTCCATGCATGTCCCATTATTCAACAGCACAGTGTAGATAGAGTCTTTGTGGTCACTTGGTCTTTGATAGTTTCTATCACCCCACCCCAGAAACCCAGAAGGAAAGAACCTCATCTTCCCCAGACTTCCAGCCCAGTCTGCAATTCTGCTTTTGCCCCTCTCCTCTTCCACTGGGTGTCTGTTTCTCCAAGGTAATAACAGCCTTTTCCTCATATGGCTGGCCTTGGAGGCCTCTATAGCTTTTTTCTTTTTGCTTCTCATATCCTAGACACTCTATTCACCATCATCTCAAGTTTTCTCTAAAGCCCACTTAAGGTATGCGATGTGGAGCTGCACTATGCTCAGCCCTTGTAAATCACATTTTTTTGTTGTCAGTTATGGTGCTTGAACTCAGGGCTTGGGCATTGTCTCTGAGCTTCTTTTGCTCAAGGCCAGCACTCTACCTCTTGAGCCGCACAGTGCCAATCCCATCATCTTCTGTGTATGGGGGACTGAGGATCAAACCCATGACTTCATGCATGCTAGCCAAGCAGTTTACCACTAAGCCACATTCCCAGCCCCTTGTAACTCACCTTTTGTGCAGTTTAGAGAGGTATAATAATATCCCTCTGGGCATTTGCAGAAATGTGTGTTGTTTAGTGCCACGCAGGAAGCATTGCCACAGGGGTCCACTTGGCACAGGTCACTGGGACCTTGGATGGAGAAGGAAGAGGTTAGAAATCCACAGAGATGATAGCAGATAACACTATAAACACGTTTTTCAACCTTCTTGCCTCTTTCCTATGCTCTCTTTACTCTCTGGCTGTGTGCTTCCACCACACACCTCAGATAATCTAGAAACAAACACATGCTTTCTTAGGTCTCAGGAAGGTCCATTGTTAAACTCTGAAGCCAAATCCTCACTGACAACATAGGCTAGAGATGAATGGACAAAGGGCTGCTGAGAAAGAGACTTCAAATAAACAAACAAACAAAACAACAGCTAGCCGGGCACTGGTGGCTCCCTCCAGAAATCCTAGCTACTTAGGAAGCTGAGTTCTGAGAATCAGAGTTCAAAGCCAGCCTAGGCAGAAGAGTCTGTGAAACTCGATCTCCAACTACAAACCAAAATGCCAGAATGGAGCTATGGTTTTCATGGGGTAGAGCAGCAGCCGTGAGTGAAAAAGCTAAGGGACCGTGCCCAGAATCTGTGTTAAAGCTCCAGTACTGATACATACAAAAATTTATTTACTTCTCATGCCAAGGAATCAAGACCCTTTAGATTTTTCTGGGTGTTCTAGAAAATCTTTTAGAGCCCCTACAAACTTTTAGAAAAAAAAAAAAAGGGTATGTTTTTTAAGGTGGCTAAACAATCATCTTGCAAGAAAGCATAGCCAAGAAGTTCCTAAAGGAAACTATACACCATACTCTGATGAACATAGTTGGTTTATATACCCATAGGAAGGCAGGGAGGAAAAAGTAAAGGGCCCTGGTCCAAGGTGACTCATGCCTGTAATCCTAGCTACTCAGAAGGCTGAGATAACTGTGGTTCAAAGCCATCTCCGGGTTGAAAGTCTGTGAGACTCTTATCTCCAATAAACCACTCAGAAAACCGGAAGTGGTGCTGTGGATCAAGTGGGAGAGCATTAGCCTTGAGCTAAAGAGCACAGGGACAGCGCCCAGGCCCAGAGGTTAAGGCCACACTATCAAAAATAAATAAATAAAACAAACAAACAAACAAAAACAAGAGTGTGGATCAACACAGTGACCTTTCCAAGGGAAGTGATCAGTCCAGCCTCTGGCTCTCTGATTGGACAGACTGAATAAATGGTGAGAATAACATGACAATGGTTTCCACAGCCCTGGCCTAGACTCCTTGGCCAGACAAGGCAGAAGATCTTTTCTTGGTCCCAGGACCTAGTGAGAGCTGAGGAGGGAAGTTTGATAAGTGGCCAAATGGCCATTTTTTGTTGGCAATTGTCATCATATGTGCCAGACAAAAAGATTCTAGGCTTTGTGTTTAGATTAGCTTAAGGGTTTGACAGTGTTGTGAGCTGCCAAGAGAGTCTCATAACTAGAAACGTAGAGGTGGTTGAACTCAGGGTCTGGGCACTGTCTCTGAGTTTCTTTTGCTCAAGACTAGCACTCTACCACTTGAGCCACAGGGCCACTTCCTGCTTTTTCTGTTTATGTGGTACTGAGGAATCAAACCCAGGGTTTCATACATGCTAGGCAAGCACTCTACCACTAAGCTACCTTCCAAGCCCTCTAGATTCTTCAAGCTTCAAAGGTTGAGGATTCTTCTAGACCAGGGTGGGCAAACTATAGATCAAGAATCATATATGCCCAACTCTAGTTTTTTTGGGGGGGTCCTGTCGTGGGGCCTGAATTCTGGGCATGGGCGCTGTCCCTCAGCTCTTCAGCTTAAGGCTAGAATTCTACCACTTGAGTCACAGGGCCAGTTCCGGCTTTTTTCTTTTTGTTTATGTGGTGCTAAGGAATAGAACCCAGGGCCTCAGGCATGCAAGGCAAGCACTCTACAACTGTGCCACCTTCCCAGCCCCCCAACTCTATTTTTGTAAATAAAGTTTTATTGGAGCACAGCCAAGTTTATTTATTTATATATTGACTCTAGCCAGAGTCTATTTGCCCTTTGGCCTTTACTGATAGAGTTTGGGAACCATTACTTGAGACCAAAGGTGTGGAAGATATTTGTCCCAATAACTCCAGCTTAATGTTAATCCTATCTCTTAGTATCCCCAAAACGTCTGGTCTTTGGACAATGGCCCTGATCATGCCCAGGCCTGTCCAGCACTGCTGCTATTTGGCTTCTTGTCTCCCTGTTAATCTCCAATTCACCACTCAAAAGCTGGAAGTGGCCCTGTGGCTCAAATGGTAGAATGCAAGCCTTGAGCACAAAGAGGCTCAGGGACAGGCCCAGGCTCTTAGTTCAAGTCCCAGGACTGGCAACAACAACAATAACAATAACAATAAATAAGTAACAACAACAGTAACATTTAAAGGTTTAAGGCATAAATCATAAAAGGAGTAAAAGAAACATGAGGAAGGCAGAGAGGGACAAGAAGAATGGACAGAGGCAGCGCAGGGAAGAAGCACTGAAGAAGGGGAGCTATGTGTTAACAGCCACAGAGAAGCCAGTGAGTGCACTATGGCCACCAGCGACATTTGCACTTGGAAAACAGGACACACAACAGCCCCTCTGGAGCCGGTACTAACTGATCCTTTCCTAGGATGAAGAGCTTATGATGACTGCTGTGGGGAAATCTCATCAACTCATTCTTACATTTCTGGGCTGACACCCTTTGGCAGGGTCTTTTGTGCAGCACTTCCTCCTACCATTTGGCCTGGCTGCTTAGGAGAGTAATACATGTGATAAAGCAGAGGCTGGAGAAACCCTTGTACAATGACGTTTATCTTCTAGCTGCTCTTGAAAGTCTTTTACCCTAGCCTGCTAGAGGAGGAAACACTGTGTGGAGCTGAGATGGAGCCATCTGAGAGATGCCAGACCCCAACTCTGTGTGAGTGTGTGAGTGTGTGTGTGTGTGTGTGTGTGTGTGTGTGTGTGTGTGTAGTGAGAGATGCTTAACCAGGGCCTGTGGAGTTCAGTCAAGTTTGGCCTCTCCTTGGAACCATGTTGAAATCTAACCCATGGGCCTGGGATGTTGGCTCAGTGGTAGAGTGCTAGCCTGGCATACATGAGGCCCTGAGTTCGATTCCTCAGCACCACATAAGCAGATAAAAAGCTGGAAGTGGCCCTGTGGCTTAAGTGGTCGAGTGCTAGCCTTGAGCTAAACAGCTCAGGGACAGCGCCCAGTCCTATGGGAAAAAAAAAAATCTGTGCCACAGACATTACAATAAGAAAATATTGATATTTTAGGCCACTAAGTTTTGGGATGGTCCCTAGTACAGCATAAACATGAGTTTTGACAGCTACACTGAAGAGGGTCAGTTTGTGTATAAGCATTTGTAAAGCTGTGAGTTGGTGTGATCCTTCTGATTTCTCATTTCCTCCTATTTCCTTGCCCAGAGGTGACAGGTTTGGTTTGTACTTCCCAGGAGAATGATAAAGATGTCAGTGTGATGACATGGGACACAGCTAGAAAGGAACAGGAGGCAAGTGAGAGGAATGGAAGGAACAGATTTAAAGTCAGCAGATAGCCATGGGTTCTGATCGTGTAGCCCTTGGCCCTTCTGACCTATAATGGAAAGGTTTACAAAAAGTCAGGTAGACCTTTGTATTTGAGGAGAGTTATTTACCCAAATTATACTTACTAATATTAACTGAAATATCTGGGTCATTCTCTGCTGCCCGGAGAATGAGAACAGACACACTGGACTCGGTTTGGTTTGTATCTTCTGCAAAAATGTTTTGAACAGAAGCCCGCACCTCACCTGCAGCACGCATTAGGGATCTTGCTGACCCACTGAGAATGCTGCAAAGGAAAGGAGCCTGTCACTTGATGAACGGAAGGGCCAACAAATGAATAGCGTTTCAAATGTCTCAGTCCTAGTCCTGATCCATAGTCCCGACACATAACCAGGGTCCAAATATGGAGGCCCAGTCTTGAAGGTTATTAATCTTTAACTATGAGTTTTTCAACTTCATGTGTACCTAGGGAAAATCTCTGGGGAAAAACACAAAAACAACAACAATGTCCTGTTGGAAAAGTTTGTAGGAAAATCGTGAATACTTATTTTTGGGAAAGTTGGGGATAAACTTTGTTAGGTCTGGGAGCTTAGAGTTAACCAGAAGTATGTGGAGGAATGTCTGACCTAATAGCTGTCACTCTCAGCAGGATGGTGAGGATATAAGTTTCTCTCACTACTTGAGACACCTCCTCAGCCTTTTTTCTTTCTTTTAGATAGGGTCTCATCTTTTGGCCTGTGGTTGGTCTTGAACCAAGATCCCCCTATCTACAGTTTTCCATATGCTTGAGATTACAGGAAAATACCACAATGACCAGCTTATTGAATGAGATGGGATGGGGTTCCCATTAATTCTTGGCTTCAGCTGTTGCAGAACCATGATTTCTCTGATCTCTGTCTCCTGAGAAGCTTGGATTACAGGTGTGAGCTAGCACACCTAATAAGAATAGATTTTAGTTGTGAAATATGTTCTCAGAGCAGCTCGGTGATTCCTCCAATCAGAAACCCATGCATACAGAAGGCTAATTGTATATGCTCCTGCCTTCTCCTGATCCACAAAGGATTGGACACACCTTTTACAAATAAATACAATGATAGACCAGAAAACATAAACACTCCACATGCTGCTTTTCTGTCCAGCTCCACTCATCTTTGTACATTCTTGGCTTGAAAGCTTGTGTATTCATGTGCTTCAGAGAAGGCTGAGGTGGAACTGCTAACTTCAAGAGAATTCACTTGGTCTCACATGCTGAATGCTCAATAAACACTGTTCTTACAACAGAAGCAGCTCACTACGAGCCCCTCAGTCATCCTGTGTGTCAGTGGGCAGGGTGTTCTCTGCCTGCAATGCACACTCCAAACAAGCTGGTCCAGATGATGCTCTGGACCACAGGCACAAGTTGCTGAGCAACCATCAGCCTCTTACCTTCTCTAGGCCACACCCTTCCATCCTGGCTACACAGTCAGTGTGACCTTAGCAGGGATGGCATGCACATTCCTCTCTGCACTGACCTGTCTAACCACCTTCTTGTACATGAGACTTGCCATGAGAAGACCTTCATGTCACATGGGGAAACTCAGAGGAAGACGAGAAATGAAGCAAACACCTCCGAGCCTCCAAAGCACCCAGCAGTCTAGAGCAGACTTACCTTACTTGAGCAATCACAGTCTGCTTATAATCAGTGTCCTTCAGTGCATCTGAAAACTGGGGAAAAGAATAGATTTAATGAAGTAAAACAAATTCAAACAGGATTATCTAGGTTTGGAACATAAAATTCTAAGGCCGTTTAAGGTTCATGCAAAGTTCTTTTTTTTACTGTACTCTTCATCTTTAGACTTGAACTTCAGGCCTGAGCACTGTCCCTGAGCTTTCTTGCTCAAGGCTAGTGCTTTACTACTTGAGCACAGCTCCATTTTTGGCTTTTTGGAGATGAGAGGCTCGTGGACTTTTCTCCCTGGGCTGGCTTCCAATTGCAATCCTTAGATCTCAGACTCTTGCATAGCTAGGACTACAGGCATGAGTTATCTGAGCCACAGCAGTGCATAGCACTCTTCCATGTTGAGAATTATTTTACTTATTTAATTAATTAATCATAGCAGGAGCTACCAGGGCCAGCTCTTTTGATTTCTTCATTGGTTTAACTATTTATTGCAGTGCTCAGATTTCTTTAAAGCCTTGTGCATGCTAAGCAGGCACTCTCATACTGAGCTCCACCCTGATGGTAGAAGTTGAACCCAGGGCCCTTTCCATCCTAGGCAAGGGTTCCACAACCCCATTGAGCTGCATGGCCTGAAATAACTTACTTTACAATAGTGTTAGGCTCCTTATTCATCTAAATCTATATGAATGGTTTATACAACAATGGGTGAGGGTTGGCTAGAGCAAGAGTCCCAGGGCCTCTGCCATGCCAAGGGCTCTGCTTCAGGCAGAAGATCAAGGAGAAGCCCTGTGAATGGGCAAAGATGGAGGGGTGCCTTTCACTTCGTGAACCTCTGCAACAGAGTTGGTGTGCACCACCCAAAGACCCCACCCTCTCCAGCTCCACAGGAGAACCAACACTCATCTAGAGAAAGGAAGGTGGAGAATACTTACAAATGCATTGATTTTATCATGTAACTCTTGGTAATTCAAAGACTGTTCATCATCCAAGCCAGATGTGTCAGGTACTTTTACTGTAATCTCTCTGAGGAATGTCGTTCCTGAAAATCAAGCAGAATCTCTCTGTAGTAGCTCATGGAAAAGTCTGTGGGACTTGATTCTGGCAAAAAGCCAGAAGCAGAAGTATTGTTTCTCAAGTGGTACAAGGCCAGATGAAGGAAAATGCCAGGCGGACTTGCGTGCGGCCCACACTTGTAATCTTAGCTACTCAAGAGTCTGAGATCTGAGGATCAGGATACATGTAAAGTCTATGAGCATCTCATCTTCAATTAATTGCTCAAAAACCACAAGTGGTGCTGTGGCTCAAAGTGGTAGCATACTAGCCTTGAGCCATAAAGCTCAGGGCAGCGCTCAGGTCCTGAGTTTAAGCCCCATGACCGAAAAAACAAACAAAACAAAAGCAAAAAGCTAAGCAACACCGCCAGCATCTGAGCTCAAACCTCAGACAAAAAAAATTAAAAAGAAAAGCCAAGCTCCCAGTCCATGCATGTCCCATTATTCAACAGCACAGTGTAGATAGAGTCTTTGTGGTCACTTGGTCTTTGATAGTTTCTATCACCCCACCCCGGAAACCCAGAAGGAAAGAACCTCATCTTCCCCAGACTTCCAGCCCAGTCTGCAATTCTGCTTTTGCCCCTCTCCTCTTCCACTGGGTGTCTGTTTGTCCAAGGTAATAACAGCCTTTTCCTCATATGGCTGGCCTTGGAGGCCTCTATAGCTTTTTTCTTTTTGCTTCTCATATCCTAGACACTCTATTCACCATCATCTCAAGTTTTCTCTAAAGCCCACTTAAGGTATGCGATGTGGAGCTGCACTATGCTCAGCCCTTGTAAATCACATTTTTTTGTTGTCAGTTATGGTGCTTGAACTCAGGACTTGGGCATTGTCTCTGAGCTTCTTTTGCTCAAGGCCAGCACTCTACCTCTTGAGCCGCACAGTGCCAATCCCATCATCTTCTGTGTATGGGGGACTGAGGATCAAACCCATGACTTCATGCATGCTAGCCAAGCAGTTTACCACTAAGCCACATTCCCAGCCCCTTGTAACTCACCTTTTGTGCAGTTTAGAGAGGTATAATAATATCCCTCTGGGCATTTGCAGAAATGTGTGTTGTTTAGTGCCACGCAGGAAGCATTGCCACAGGGGTCCACTTGGCACAGGTCACTGGGACCTTGGATGGAGAAGGAAGAGGTTAGAAATCCACAGAGATGATAGCAGATAACACTATAAACACGTTTTTCAACCTTCTTGCCTCTTTCCTATGCTCTCTTTACTCTCTGGCTGTGTGCTTCCACCACACACCTCAGATAATCTAGAAACAAACACATGCTTTCTTAGGTCTCAGGAAGGTCCATTGTTAAACTCTGAAGCCAAATCCTCACTGACAACATAGGCTAGAGATGAATGGACAAAGGGCTGCTGAGAAAGAGACTTCAAATAAACAAACAAACAAAACAACAGCTAGCCGGGCACTGGTGGCTCCCTCCAGAAATCCTAGCTACTTAGGAAGCTGAGTTCTGAGAATCAGAGTTCAAAGCCAGCCTAGGCAGAAGAGTCTGTGAAACTCGATCTCCAACTACAAACCAAAATGCCAGAATGGAGCTATGGTTTTCATGGGGTAGAGCAGCAGCCGTGAGTGAAAAAGCTAAGGGACCGTGCCCAGAATCTGTGTTAAAGCTCCAGTACTGATACATACAAAAATTTATTTACTTCTCATGCCAAGGAATCAAGACCCTTTAGATTTTTCTGGGTGTTCTAGAAAATCTTTTAGAGCCCCTACAAACTTTTAGAAAAAAAAAAAAAGGGTATGTTTTTTAAGGTGGCTAAACAATCATCTTGCAAGAAAGCATAGCCAAGAAGTTCCTAAAGGAAACTATACACCATACTCTGATGAACATAGTTGGTTTATATACCCATAGGAAGGCAGGGAGGAAAAAGTAAAGGGCCCTGGTCCAAGGTGACTCATGCCTGTAATCCTAGCTACTCAGAAGGCTGAGATAACTGTGGTTCAAAGCCATCTCCGGGTTGAAAGTCTGTGAGACTCTTATCTCCAATAAACCACTCAGAAAACCGGAAGTGGTGCTGTGGATCAAGTGGGAGAGCATTAGCCTTGAGCTAAAGAGCACAGGGACAGCGCCCAGGCCCAGAGGTTAAGGCCACACTATCAAAAATAAATAAATAAAACAAACAAACAAACAAAAACAAGAGTGTGGATCAACACAGTGACCTTTCCAAGGGAAGTGATCAGTCCAGCCTCTGGCTCTCTGATTGGACAGACTGAATAAATGGTGAGAATAACATGACAATGGTTTCCACAGCCCTGGCCTAGACTCCTTGGCCAGACAAGGCAGAAGATCTTTTCTTGGTCCCAGGACCTAGTGAGAGCTGAGGAGGGAAGTTTGATAAGTGGCCAAATGGCCATTTTTTGTTGGCAATTGTCATCATATGTGCCAGACAAAAAGATTCTAGGCTTTGTGTTTAGATTAGCTTAAGGGTTTGACAGTGTTGTGAGCTGCCAAGAGAGTCTCATAACTAGAAACGTAGAGGTGGTTGAACTCAGGGTCTGGGCACTGTCTCTGAGTTTCTTTTGCTCAAGACTAGCACTCTACCACTTGAGCCACAGGGCCACTTCCTGCTTTTTCTGTTTATGTGGTACTGAGGAATCAAACCCAGGGTTTCATACATGCTAGGCAAGCACTCTACCACTAAGCTACCTTCCAAGCCCTCTAGATTCTTCAAGCTTCAAAGGTTGAGGATTCTTCTAGACCAGGGTGGGCAAACTATAGATCAAGAATCATATATGCCCAACTCTAGTTTTTTTGGGGGGGTCCTGTCGTGGGGCCTGAATTCTGGGCATGGGCGCTGTCCCTCAGCTCTTCAGCTTAAGGCTAGAATTCTACCACTTGAGTCACAGGGCCAGTTCCGGCTTTTTTCTTTTTGTTTATGTGGTGCTAAGGAATAGAACCCAGGGCCTCAGGCATGCAAGGCAAGCACTCTACAACTGTGCCACCTTCCCAGCCCCCCAACTCTATTTTTGTAAATAAAGTTTTATTGGAGCACAGCCAAGTTTATTTATTTATATATTGACTCTAGCCAGAGTCTATTTGCCCTTTGGCCTTTACTGATAGAGTTTGGGAACCATTACTTGAGACCAAAGGTGTGGAAGATATTTGTCCCAATAACTCCAGCTTAATGTTAATCCTATCTCTTAGTATCCCCAAAACGTCTGGTCTTTGGACAATGGCCCTGATCATGCCCAGGCCTGTCCAGCACTGCTGCTATTTGGCTTCTTGTCTCCCTGTTAATCTCCAATTCACCACTCAAAAGCTGGAAGTGGCCCTGTGGCTCAAATGGTAGAATGCAAGCCTTGAGCACAAAGAGGCTCAGGGACAGGCCCAGGCTCTTAGTTCAAGTCCCAGGACTGGCAACAACAACAATAACAATAACAATAAATAAGTAACAACAACAGTAACATTTAAAGGTTTAAGGCATAAATCATAAAAGGAGTAAAAGAAACATGAGGAAGGCAGAGAGGGACAAGAAGAATGGACAGAGGCAGCGCAGGGAAGAAGCACTGAAGAAGGGGAGCTATGTGTTAACAGCCACAGAGAAGCCAGTGAGTGCACTATGGCCACCAGCGACATTTGCACTTGGAAAACAGGACACACAACAGCCCCTCTGGAGCCGGTACTAACTGATCCTTTTCTAGGGTGAAGAGCTTATGATGACTGCTGTGGGGAAATCTCATCAACTCATTCTTACATTTCTGGGCTGACACCCTTTGGCAGGGTCTTTTGTGCAGCACTTCCTCCTACCATTTGGCCTGGCTGCTTAGGAGAGTAATACATGTGATAAAGCAGAGGCTGGAGAAACCCTTGTACAATGACGTTTATCTTCTAGCTGCTCTTGAAAGTCTTTTACCCTAGCCTGCTAGAGGAGGAAACACTGTGTGGAGCTGAGATGGAGCCATCTGAGAGATGCCAGACCCCAACTCTGTGTGAGTGTGTGAGTGTGTGTGTGTGTGTGTGTGTGTGTGTAGTGATGAGAGATGCTTAACCAGGCCCTGTGGAGATCAGTCAAGCTTGGCCTCTCCCTGGAACCATGTTGAAATCTAACCCATGGGCCAGCCTGGGAAGTTGGCTCAGTGGTAGAGTGCTAGCCTGGCATACATGAGGCCCTGAGTTCGATTCCTCAGCACCACATAAGCAGATAAAAAGCTGGAAGTGGCCCTGTGGCTTAAGTGGTCGTGTTCTAGCCTTCAGCTAAAGAGCTGAGGGACAGCGCCCAGCCCTATGGGAAAAAAAAAATCTGTGCCACAGACATTACAATAAGGAAATATTGATATTTTAGGCCACTACGTTTTGGGATGGTCCCTAGTACAGCATAAACATGAGTTTAGACAGCTACACTGAAGAGGGTGAGTTTGTGTATACGCATTTGTAAAGCTGTGAGTTGGTGTGATCCTTCTGATTTCTCATTTCCTCCTATTTCCTTGCCCATAGGTGACAGGTCTGGTTTGTACTTCCCAGGAGAATGCTAAAGATGTCAATGTGATGACATGGGACACAGCTAGAAAGGAACAGGAGGCAAGTGAGAGGAATGGAAGGAACAGATTTAAAGTCAGCAGATAGCCATGGGTTCTGATCGTGTAGCCCTTAGCACTTCTGACCTACAATAGAAAGGTTTACGAAAAGTCAGGTAGACCTTTGTATTTGAGGAGAGTTATTTACTCAAATTATACTTACTAATATTAACTGAAATATTTGGGTCATTCTCTGCTGCCCGGAGAATGAGAACAGACACACTGGACTCGGTTTGGTTTGTATCTTCTGCAAAAATGTTTTGAACAGAAGCCTGCACCTCACCTGCAGCACGCATTACGGATCTTGCTGACCCACTGAGAATGCTGCAAAGGAAAGGAGCCTGTCACTTGATGAACGGAAGAGCCAACAAATGAATAGGGTTTCAAATCTCTCAGCCCTCGTCCTGACTCATAGGCCTGACCCCTAACCAGGGTCCAAATATGGAGACCCAGTCCTGAACCATATTAATCTTTCACTATGAGTTTTTCAATTTCATGTGTACCTAGGGAAAATCTCTGGGGAAAACACAACAACAATGTCCCGTTGGAAAACTTTGTAGGAAAATCGTGGCTACTTATTTTTGGGAAAGTTGGGGATAACTTTGTTAGGTCTAGGAGCTTAGAGTTAACCAGATGTATGTGGAGGAATGTCTGACCAAATAGCTGCCACTCTCAGCAGGATGGTGACGATATAAGTTTCTCTCACTTCTTGAGACACCCTCTCAGCCTTTTTTCTTTCTTTTAGATAGGGTCTCATCTTTTGGCCTGTGGTTAGCCTTGAACCAAGATCCCACTATGCACAGTCTTCCATATGGTTGAGATTACAGGAAAATACCACAATGACCAGCTTATTGAGTGAGATGGGATGGGATTCCCATTAATTCTTGGCTTCAACTGTTGTAGAACCATGATTTCTCTGATCTTTGTCTCCTGAGAAGCTTGGGTTACAGGTGTGAGCTACCACACCTAATAAGAATAGATTTTAGCTGTGAAATATGTTCTCAGAGCAGCTCGGTGAATCCTCCAATCAGAAACCCATGCATACAGAAGGCTAATTGTATATGCTCCTGCCTTCTCCTGATCCACAAAGGATTGGACACACCTTTTACAAATAAATACAATAATAGACCAGAAAACATAAACACTCCACATGCTGCTTTTCTGTCCAGCTCCACTCATCTTTGTACATTCTTGGCTTGAAAGCTTGTGTATTCATGTGCTTCAGAGAAGGCTGAGGTGGAACTGCTAACTTCAAGAGAATTCACTTGGTCTCACATGCTGAATGCTCAATAAACACTGTTCTTACAACAGAAGCAGCTCACTACGAGCCCCTCAGTCATCCTGTGTGTCAGTGGGCAGGGTGTTCTCTGCCTGCAATGCACACTCCAAACAAGCTGGTCCAGATGATGCTCTGGACCACAGGCACAAGTTGCTGAGCAACCATCAGCCTCTTACCTTCTCTAGGCCACACCCTTCCATCCTGGCTACACAGTCAGTGTGACCTTAGCAGGGATGGCATGCACATTCCTCTCTGCACTGACCTGTCTAACCACCTTCTTGTACATGAGACTTGCCATGAGAAGACCTTCATGTCACATGGGGAAACTCAGAGGAAGACGAGAAATGAAGCAAACACCTCCGAGCCTCCAAAGCACCCAGCAGTCTAGAGCAGACTTACCTTACTTGAGCAATCACAGTCTGCTTATAATCAGTGTCCTTCAGTGCATCTGAAAACTGGGGAAAAGAATAGATTTAATGAAGTAAAACAAATTCAAACAGGATTATCTAGGTTTGGAACATAAAATTCTAAGGCCGTTTAAGGTTCATGCAAAGTTCTTTTTTTTACTGTACTCTTCATCTTTAGACTTGAACTTCAGGCCTGAGCACTGTCCCTGAGCTTTCTTGCTCAAGGCTAGTGCTTTACTACTTGAGCACAGCTCCATTTTTGGCTTTTTGGAGATGAGAGGCTCGTGGACTTTTCTCCCTGGGCTGGCTTCCAATTGCAATCCTTAGATCTCAGACTCTTGCATAGCTAGGACTACAGGCATGAGTTATCTGAGCCACAGCAGTGCATAGCACTCTTCCATGTTGAGAATTATTTTACTTATTTAATTAATTAATCATAGCAGGAGCTACCAGGGCCAGCTCTTTTGATTTCTTCATTGGTTTAACTATTTATTGCAGTGCTCAGATTTCTTTAAAGCCTTGTGCATGCTAAGCAGGCACTCTCATACTGAGCTCCACCCTGATGGTAGAAGTTGAACCCAGGGCCCTTTCCATCCTAGGCAAGGGTTCCACAACCCCATTGAGCTGCATGGCCTGAAATAACTTACTTTACAATAGTGTTAGGCTCCTTATTCATCTAAATCTATATGAATGGTTTATACAACAATGGGTGAGGGTTGGCTAGAGCAAGAGTCCCAGGGCCTCTGCCATGCCAAGGGCTCTGCTTCAGGCAGAAGATCAAGGAGAAGCCCTGTGAATGGGCAAAGATGGAGGGGTGCCTTTCACTTCGTGAACCTCTGCAACAGAGTTGGTGTGCACCACCCAAAGACCCCACCCTCTCCAGCTCCACAGGAGAACCAACACTCATCTAGAGAAAGGAAGGTGGAGAATACTTACAAATGCATTGATTTTATCATGTAACTCTTGGTAATTCAAAGACTGTTCATCATCCAAGCCAGATGTGTCAGGTACTTTTACTGTAATCTCTCTGAGGAATGTCGTTCCTGAAAATCAAGCAGAATCTCTCTGTAGTAGCTCATGGAAAAGTCTGTGGGACTTGATTCTGGCAAAAAGCCAGAAGCAGAAGTATTGTTTCTCAAGTGGTACAAGGCCAGATGAAGGAAAATGCCAGGCGGACTTGCGTGCGGCCCACACTTGTAATCTTAGCTACTCAAGAGTCTGAGATCTGAGGATCAGGATACATGTAAAGTCTATGAGCATCTCATCTTCAATTAATTGCTCAAAAACCACAAGTGGTGCTGTGGCTCAAAGTGGTAGCATACTAGCCTTGAGCCATAAAGCTCAGGGCAGCGCTCAGGTCCTGAGTTTAAGCCCCATGACCGAAAAAACAAACAAAACAAAAGCAAAAAGCTAAGCAACACCGCCAGCATCTGAGCTCAAACCTCAGACAAAAAAAATTAAAAAGAAAAGCCAAGCTCCCAGTCCATGCATGTCCCATTATTCAACAGCACAGTGTAGATAGAGTCTTTGTGGTCACTTGGTCTTTGATAGTTTCTATCACCCCACCCCGGAAACCCAGAAGGAAAGAACCTCATCTTCCCCAGACTTCCAGCCCAGTCTGCAATTCTGCTTTTGCCCCTCTCCTCTTCCACTGGGTGTCTGTTTCTCCAAGGTAATAACAGCCTTTTCCTCATATGGCTGGCCTTGGAGGCCTCTATAGCTTTTTTCTTTTTGCTTCTCATATCCTAGACACTCTATTCACCATCATCTCAAGTTTTCTCTAAAGCCCACTTAAGGTATGCGATGTGGAGCTGCACTATGCTCAGCCCTTGTAAATCACATTTTTTTGTTGTCAGTTATGGTGCTTGAACTCAGGACTTGGGCATTGTCTCTGAGCTTCTTTTGCTCAAGGCCAGCACTCTACCTCTTGAGCCGCACAGTGCCAATCCCATCATCTTCTGTGTATGGGGGACTGAGGATCAAACCCATGACTTCATGCATGCTAGCCAAGCAGTTTACCACTAAGCCACATTCCCAGCCCCTTGTAACTCACCTTTTGTGCAGTTTAGAGAGGTATAATAATATCCCTCTGGGCATTTGCAGAAATGTGTGTTGTTTAGTGCCACGCAGGAAGCATTGCCACAGGGGTCCACTTGGCACAGGTCACTGGGACCTTGGATGGAGAAGGAAGAGGTTAGAAATCCACAGAGATGATAGCAGATAACACTATAAACACGTTTTTCAACCTTCTTGCCTCTTTCCTATGCTCTCTTTACTCTCTGGCTGTGTGCTTCCACCACACACCTCAGATAATCTAGAAACAAACACATGCTTTCTTAGGTCTCAGGAAGGTCCATTGTTAAACTCTGAAGCCAAATCCTCACTGACAACATAGGCTAGAGATGAATGGACAAAGGGCTGCTGAGAAAGAGACTTCAAATAAACAAACAAACAAAACAACAGCTAGCCAGGCACTGGTGGCTCCCTCCAGAAATCCTAGCTACTTAGGAAGCTGAGTTCTGAGAATCAGAGTTCAAAGCCAGCCTAGGCAGAAGAGTCTGTGAAACTCGATCTCCAACTACAAACCAAAATGCCAGAATGGAGCTATGGTTTTCATGGGGTAGAGCAGCAGCCGTGAGTGAAAAAGCTAAGGGACCGTGCCCAGAATCTGTGTTAAAGCTCCAGTACTGATACATACAAAAATTTATTTACTTCTCATGCCAAGGAATCAAGACCCTTTAGATTTTTCTGGGTGTTCTAGAAAATCTTTTAGAGCCCCTACAAACTTTTAGAAAAAAAAAAAAGGGTATGTTTTTTAAGGTGGCTAGACAATCATCTTGCAAGAAAGCATAGCCAAGAAGTTCCTAAAGGAAACTATACACCATACTCTGATGAACATAGTTGGTTTATATACCCATAGGAAGGCAGGGAGGAAAAAGTAAAGGGCCCTGGTCCAAGGTGACTCATGCCTGTAATCCTAGCTACTCAGAAGGCTGAGATATGAGGATTGTGGTTCTAAGCCAGCTCTGGCCTGAAATTCTGTGAGACTATCTCCAATAAACCCCTCAGAAAACCGGAAGTGGTGCTGTGGATCAAGTGGGAGAGCATTAGCCTTGAGCTAAAGACCTCAGAGACAGGGCCCAGGCCGAGAGGTTAAGGCCACACTATCAAAAATAAATAAATAAAACAAACAAACAAACAAAAACAAGAATGTGGATCAACACAGTGAGCTTTCCAAGGGAACTGATCAGTCCAGCCTCTGGCTCTCTGATTGGACAGACTGAATAAATGGTGAGAATAACATGACAATGGTTTCCACAGCCCTGGCCTAGGCTCCTTGGGCAGACAAGGCAGAAGATCTTTTCTTGGTCCCAGGACCTAGTGAGATCTGAGGAGGGAAGTTTGACAATTGGCCAAATGATCATTTTTTTGTTAGCAATTGTCATCATATGCGTCAGACAAAAAGATTCTAGGTTTTGTGTTTAGATTAGCTTAAGTGTTTGACAGCCTTGTGAGCTGCTGTAAGAGTCTCATACACTAGAAACGTAGAGGTGGTTGAACTCAGGGTCTGGGCACTGTCTCTGAGTTTCTTTTGCTCAAGACTAGCACTCTACCACTTGAGCCACAGGGCCACTTCCTGCTGTTTCTGTTTATGTGGTACTGAGGAATCAAACCCAGGGCTTCATACATGCTAGGCAAGCACTCTACCACTAAGCTACCTTCCAAGCCCTCTAGATTCTTCAAGCTCCAAAGGTTGAGGATTCTTCTAGACCAGGGTGGGCAAACTATAGATCAAGAATCATATCTGCCCAACTCTATTTTTTTGGGGGGGGTCCTGTTGTGGGGCCTGAATTCTGGGCCTGGGCGCTGTCCCTCAGCTCTTCAGCTCAAGGCTAGCGCTCTACCACTTGAGTCACAGGGCCACTTCCGGCTTTTTTCTTTTTGTTTATGTGGTGCTGAGGAATAGAACCCAGGGCCTCAGGCATGCAAGGCAAGCACTCTACAACTGTGCCACCTTCCCAGCCCCTCAACTCTATTTTTGTAAATAAAGTTTTATTGGAGCACAGCCAAGTTTATTTATTTATATATTGACTCTAGCCAGAGTCTATTTGCCCTTTGGCCTTTACTGATAGAGTTTGGGAACCATTACTTGAGACCAAAGGTGTGGAAGATGTTTGTCCCAATAACTCCAGCTTAATGTTAATCCTATCTCTTAGTATCCCCAAAACATCTGGTCTTTGGACAATGGCCCTGATCATGCCCAGGACTGTCCAGCACTGCTGCTATTTGGCTTCTTGTCTCCCTGTTAATCTCCAATTCACCACTCAAAAGCTGGAAGTGGCCCTGTGGCTCAAATGGTAGAATGCAAGCCTTGAGCACAAAGAGGCTCAGAGACAGGGCCCAGGCTCTTAGTTCAAGTCCCAGGACTGGCAACAACAACAACAACAATAACAATAATAATAAATAAGTAACAACAACAGTAACATTTAAATGTTTAAGGCATAAATCATAAAAGGAGTAAAAGAAACATGAGGAAGGCAGAGAGGGACCAGAAGAATGGACAGAGGCAGCGCAGGGAAGAAGCACTGAAGAAGGGGAGCTATGTGCTAACAGCCACAGAGAAGCCAGTGAGTGCACTATGGCCACCAGCGACATTTGCACTTGGAAAACAGGACGCACAACAGCCCCTCTGGAGCCGGTACTAACTGATCCTTTTCTAGGATGAAGAGCTTATGATGACTGCTGTGGGGAAATCTCATCAACTCATTCTTACATTTCTGGGCTGACACCCTTTGGCAGGGTCTTTTGTGCAGGACTTTCTCCTACCAATTGGCCTGGCTGCTTAGGAGAGTAATACATGTGATAAAGCAGAGGCTGGAGAAACCCTTGTTCAATGACGTTTATCTTCTAGCTGCTCTTGAAAGTCTTTTACCCTAGCCTGCTAGAGGAGGAAACACTGTGTGGAGCTGAGATGGAGCCATCTGAGAGATGCCAGACCCCAACTCTGTGTGAGTGTGTGAGTGTGTGTGTGTGTGTGTGTGTGTGTGTTTAGTGAGAGATGCTTAACCAGGCCCTGTGGAGATCAGTCAAGTTTGGCCTCTCCGTGGAACCATGTGGAAATCTAACCCATGGGCCTGGGAAATTGGCTCAGTGGTAGAGTGCTAGCCTGGCATACATGAGGCCCTGAGTTCGATTCCTCAGCACCACATAAGCAGATAAAAAGCTGGAAGTGGCCCTGTGGCTTAAGTGGTCGTGTTCTAGCCTTCAGCTAAAGAGCTGAGGGACAGCGCCCAGCCCTATGGGAAAAAAAAAATCTGTGCCACAGACATTACAATAAGGAAATATTGATATTTTAGGCCACTAAGTTTTGGGATGGTCCCTAGTACAGCATAAACATGAGTTCAGACAGCTACACTGAAGAGGGTGAGTTTGTGTATACGCATTTGTAAAGCTGTGAGTTGGTGTGATCCTTCTCATTTCTCATTTCCTCCTATTTCCTTGCCCATAGGTGACAGGTCTGGTTTGTACTTCCCAGGAGAATGCTAAAGATGTCAATGTGATGACATGGGACACAGCTAGAAAGGAACAGGAGGCAAGTGAGAGGAATGGAAGGAACAGATTTAAAGTCAGCAGATAGCCATGGGTTCTGATCGTGTAGCCCTTAGCACTTCTGACCTACAATAGAAAGGTTTACGAAAAGTCAGGTAGACCTTTGTATTTGAGGAGAGTTATTTACTCAAATTATACTTACTAATATTAACTGAAATATTTGGGTCATTCTCTGCTGCCCGGAGAATGAGAACAGACACACTGGACTCGGTTTGGTTTGTATCTTCTGCAAAAATGTTTTGAACAGAAGCCTGCACCTCACCTGCAGCACGCATTACGGATCTTGCTGACCCACTGAGAATGCTGCAAAGGAAAGGAGCCTGTCACTTGATGAACGGAAGAGCCAACAAATGAATAGGGTTTCAAATCTCTCAGCCCTCGTCCTGACTCATAGGCCTGACCCCTAACCAGGGTCCAAATATGGAGACCCAGTCCTGAACCATATTAATCTTTCACTATGAGTTTTTCAATTTCATGTGTACCTAGGGAAAATCTCTGGGGAAAACACAACAACAATGTCCCGTTGGAAAACTTTGTAGGAAAATCGTGGCTACTTATTTTTGGGAAAGTTGGGGATAACTTTGTTAGGTCTAGGAGCTTAGAGTTAACCAGATGTATGTGGAGGAATGTCTGACCAAATAGCTGCCACTCTCAGCAGGATGGTGACGATATAAGTTTCTCTCACTTCTTGAGACACCCTCTCAGCCTTTTTTCTTTCTTTTAGATAGGGTCTCATCTTTTGGCCTGTGGTTAGCCTTGAACCAAGATCCCACTATGCACAGTCTTCCATATGGTTGAGATTACAGGAAAATACCACAATGACCAGCTTATTGAGTGAGATGGGATGGGATTCCCATTAATTCTTGGCTTCAACTGTTGTAGAACCATGATTTCTCTGATCTTTGTCTCCTGAGAAGCTTGGGTTACAGGTGTGAGCTACCACACCTAATAAGAATAGATTTTAGCTGTGAAATATGTTCTCAGAGCAGCTCGGTGAATCCTCCAATCAGAAACCCATGCATACAGAAGGCTAATTGTATATGCTCCTGCCTTCTCCTGATCCACAAAGGATTGGACACACCTTTTACAAATAAATACAATAATAGACCAGAAAACATAAACACTCCACATGCTGCTTTTCTGTCCAGCTCCACTCATCTTTGTACATTCTTGGCTTGAAAGCTTGTGTATTCATGTGCTTCAGAGAAGGCTGAGGTGGAACTGCTAACTTCAAGAGAATTCACTTGGTCTCACATGCTGAATGCTCAATAAACACTGTTCTTACAACAGAAGCAGCTCACTACGAGCCCCTCAGTCATCCTGTGTGTCAGTGGGCAGGGTGTTCTCTGCCTGCAATGCACACTCCAAACAAGCTGGTCCAGATGATGCTCTGGACCACAGGCACAAGTTGCTGAGCAACCATCAGCCTCTTACCTTCTCTAGGCCACACCCTTCCATCCTGGCTACACAGTCAGTGTGACCTTAGCAGGGATGGCATGCACATTCCTCTCTGCACTGACCTGTCTAACCACCTTCTTGTACATGAGACTTGCCATGAGAAGACCTTCATGTCACATGGGGAAACTCAGAGGAAGACGAGAAATGAAGCAAACACCTCCGAGCCTCCAAAGCACCCAGCAGTCTAGAGCAGACTTACCTTACTTGAGCAATCACAGTCTGCTTATAATCAGTGTCCTTCAGTGCATCTGAAAACTGGGGAAAAGAATAGATTTAATAAAGTAAAACAAATTCAAACAGGATTATCTAGGTTTGGAACATAAAATTCTAAGGCCATTTAAGGTTCATGCAAAGTTCTTTTTTTTACTGTACTCTTCATCTTTAGACTTGAACTTCAGGCCTGAGCACTGTCCCTGAGCTTTCTTGCTCAAGGCTAGTGCTTTACTACTTGAGCACAGCTCCATTTTTGGCTTTTTGGAGATGAGAGGCTCGTGGACTTTTCTCCCTGGGCTGGCTTCCAATTGCAATCCTTAGATCTCAGACTCTTGCATAGCTAGGACTACAGGCATGAGTCATCTGAGCCACAGCAGTGCATAGCACTCTTCCATGTTGAGAATTATTTTACTTATTTAATTAATTAATCATAGCAGGAGCTACCAGGGCCAGCTCTTTTGATTTCTTCATTGGTTTAACTATTTATTGCAGTGCTCAGATTTCTTTAAAGCCTTGTGCATGCTAAGCAGGCACTCTCATACTAAGCTCCACCCTGATGGTAGAAGTTGAACCCAGGGCCCTTTCCATACTAGGCAAGGGTTCCACAGCCCCATTGAGCTGCATGGCCTGAAATAACTTACTTTACAATAGTGTTAGGCTTCTTCTTCATCTAAATCTATATGAATGGTTTATACAACAATGGGTGAGGGTTGGCTGGAGCAAGAGTCCCAGGGCCTCTGCCATGCCAAGGGCTCTGCTTCAGGCAGAAGATCAAGGAGAAGCCCTGTGAATGGGCAAAGATGGAGGGGTGCCTTTCACTTCGTGAACCTCTGGAACAGAGTGGGTGTGCACCACCCAAAGACCCCACCCTCTCCAGCTCCACAGGAGAACCAACACTCATCTAGAGAAAGGAAGGTGGAGAATACTTACAAATGCATTGATTTTATCATGTAACTCTTGGTAATTCAAAGACTGTTCATCATCCAAGCCAGATGTGTCAGGTACTTTTACTGTAATCTCTCTGAGGAATGTCGTTCCTGAAAATCAAGCAGAATCTCTCTGTAGTAGCTCATGGAAAAGTCTGTGGGACTTGATTCTGGCAAAAAGCCAGAAGCAGAAGTATTGTTTCTCAAGTGGTACAAGGCCAGATGAAGGAAAATGCCAGGCGGACTTGCGTGCGGCCCACACTTGTAATCTTAACTACTCAAGAGTCTGAGATCTGAGGATCAGGGTACATGTAAAGTCTATGAGCATCTCATCTTCAATTAATTGCTCAAAAACCACAAGTGGTGCTGTGGCTCAAAGTGGTAGCATACTAGCCTTGAGCCATAAAGCTCAGGGCAGCGCTCAGGTCCTGAGTTTAAGCCCCATGACCGAAAAAACAAACAAAACAAAAGCAAAAAGCTAAACAACACCGCCAGCATCTGAGCTCAAACCTCAGACAAAAAAAATTAAAAAGAAAAGCCAAGCTCCCAGTCCATGCATGTCCCATTATTCAACAGCACAGTGTAGATAGAGTCTTTGTGGTCACTTGGTCTTTGATAGTTTCTATCACGCCACCCCGGAAACCCAGAAGGAAAGAACCTCATCTTCCCCAGACTTCCAGCCCAGTCTGCAATTCTGCTTTTGCCCCTCTCCTCTTCCACTGGGTGTCTGTTTCTCCAAGGTAATAACAGCCTTTTCCTCATATGGCTGGCCTTGGAGGCCTCTATAGCTTTTTTCTTTTTGCTTCTCATATCCTAGACACTCTATTCACCATCATCTCAAGTTTTCTCTAAAGCCCACTTAAGGTATGCGATGTGGAGCTGCACTATGCTCAGCCCTTGTAAATCACATTTTTTTGTTGTCAGTTATGGTGCTTGAACTCAGGACTTGGGCATTGTCTCTGAGCTTCTTTTGCTCAAGGCCAGCACTCTACCTCTTGAGCCGCACAGTGCCAATCCCATCATCTTCTGTGTATGGGGGACTGAGGATCAAACCCATGACTTCATGCATGCTAGCCAAGCAGTTTACCACTAAGCCACATTCCCAGCCCCTTGTAACTCACCTTTTGTGCAGTTTAGAGAGGTATAATAATATCCCTCTGGGCATTTGCAGAAATGTGTGTTGTTTAGTGCCACGCAGGAAGCATTGCCACAGGGGTCCACTTGGCACAGGTCACTGGGACCTTGGATGGAGAAGGAAGAGGTTAGAAATCCACAGAGATGATAGCAGATAACACTATAAACACGTTTTTCAACCTTCTTGCCTCTTTCCTATGCTCTCTTTACTCTCTGGCTGTGTGCTTCCACCACACACCTCAGATAATCTAGAAACAAACACATGCTTTCTTAGGTCTCAGGAAGGTCCATTGTTAAACTCTGAAGCCAAATCCTCACTGACAACATAGGCTAGAGATGAATGGACAAAGGGCTGCTGAGAAAGAGACTTCAAATAAACAAACAAACAAAACAACAGCTAGCCAGGCACTGGTGGCTCCCTCCAGAAATCCTAGCTACTTAGGAAGCTGAGTTCTGAGAATCAGAGTTCAAAGCCAGCCTAGGCAGAAGAGTCTGTGAAACTCGATCTCCAACTACAAACCAAAATGCCAGAATGGAGCTATGGTTTTCATGGGGTAGAGCAGCAGCCGTGAGTGAAAAAGCTAAGGGACCGTGCCCAGAATCTGTGTTAAAGCTCCAGTACTGATACATACAAAAATTTATTTACTTCTCATGCCAAGGAATCAAGACCCTTTAGATTTTTCTGGGTGTTCTAGAAAATCTTTTAGAGCCCCTACAAACTTTTAGAAAAAAAAAAAAGGGTATGTTTTTTAAGGTGGCTAGACAATCATCTTGCAAGAAAGCATAGCCAAGAAGTTCCTAAAGGAAACTATACACCATACTCTGATGAACATAGTTGGTTTATATACCCATAGGAAGGCAGGGAGGAAAAAGTAAAGGGCCCTGGTCCAAGGTGACTCATGCCTGTAATCCTAGCTACTCAGAAGGCTGAGATATGAGGATTGTGGTTCAAAGCCAGCTCTGGCCTGAAATTCTGTGAGACTATCTCCAATAAACCCCTCAGAAAACCGGAAGTGGTGCTGTGGATCAAGTGGGAGAGCATTAGCCTTGAGCTAAAGACCTCAGAGACAGGGCCCAGGCCGAGAGGTTAAGGCCACACTATCAAAAATAAATAAATAAAACAAACAAACAAACAAAAACAAGAATGTGGATCAACACAGTGAGCTTTCCAAGGGAACTGATCAGTCCAGCCTCTGGCTCTCTGATTGGACAGACTGAATAAATGGTGAGAATAACATGACAATGGTTTCCACAGCCCTGGCCTAGGCTCCTTGGGCAGACAAGGCAGAAGATCTTTTCTTGGTCCCAGGACCTAGTGAGATCTGAGGAGGGAAGTTTGACAATTGGCCAAATGATCATTTTTTTGTTAGCAATTGTCATCATATGCGTCAGACAAAAAGATTCTAGGTTTTGTGTTTAGATTAGCTTAAGTGTTTGACAGCCTTGTGAGCTGCTGTAAGAGTCTCATACACTAGAAACGTAGAGGTGGTTGAACTCAGGGTCTGGGCACTGTCTCTGAGTTTCTTTTGCTCAAGACTAGCACTCTACCACTTGAGCCACAGGGCCACTTCCTGCTGTTTCTGTTTATGTGGTACTGAGGAATCAAACCCAGGGCTTCATACATGCTAGGCAAGCACTCTACCACTAAGCTACCTTCCAAGCCCTCTAGATTCTTCAAGCTCCAAAGGTTGAGGATTCTTCTAGACCAGGGTGGGCAAACTATAGATCAAGAATCATATCTGCCCAACTCTATTTTTTTGGGGGGGGTCCTGTTGTGGGGCCTGAATTCTGGGCCTGGGCGCTGTCCCTCAGCTCTTCAGCTCAAGGCTAGCGCTCTACCACTTGAGTCACAGGGCCACTTCCGGCTTTTTTCTTTTTGTTTATGTGGTGCTGAGGAATAGAACCCAGGGCCTCAGGCATGCAAGGCAAGCACTCTACAACTGTGCCACCTTCCCAGCCCCTCAACTCTATTTTTGTAAATAAAGTTTTATTGGAGCACAGCCAAGTTTATTTATTTATATATTGACTCTAGCCAGAGTCTATTTGCCCTTTGGCCTTTACTGATAGAGTTTGGGAACCATTACTTGAGACCAAAGGTGTGGAAGATGTTTGTCCCAATAACTCCAGCTTAATGTTAATCCTATCTCTTAGTATCCCCAAAACATCTGGTCTTTGGACAATGGCCCTGATCATGCCCAGGACTGTCCAGCACTGCTGCTATTTGGCTTCTTGTCTCCCTGTTAATCTCCAATTCACCACTCAAAAGCTGGAAGTGGCCCTGTGGCTCAAATGGTAGAATGCAAGCCTTGAGCACAAAGAGGCTCAGAGACAGGGCCCAGGCTCTTAGTTCAAGTCCCAGGACTGGCAACAACAACAACAACAATAACAATAATAATAAATAAGTAACAACAACAGTAACATTTAAATGTTTAAGGCATAAATCATAAAAGGAGTAAAAGAAACATGAGGAAGGCAGAGAGGGACCAGAAGAATGGACAGAGGCAGCGCAGGGAAGAAGCACTGAAGAAGGGGAGCTATGTGCTAACAGCCACAGAGAAGCCAGTGAGTGCACTATGGCCACCAGCGACATTTGCACTTGGAAAACAGGACGCACAACAGCCCCTCTGGAGCCGGTACTAACTGATCCTTTTCTAGGATGAAGAGCTTATGATGACTGCTGTGGGGAAATCTCATCAACTCATTCTTACATTTCTGGGCTGACACCCTTTGGCAGGGTCTTTTGTGCAGGACTTTCTCCTACCAATTGGCCTGGCTGCTTAGGAGAGTAATACATGTGATAAAGCAGAGGCTGGAGAAACCCTTGTTCAATGACGTTTATCTTCTAGCTGCTCTTGAAAGTCTTTTACCCTAGCCTGCTAGAGGAGGAAACACTGTGTGGAGCTGAGATGGAGCCATCTGAGAGATGCCAGACCCCAACTCTGTGTGAGTGTGTGAGTGTGTGTGTGTGTGTGTGTGTGTGTGTTTAGTGAGAGATGCTTAACCAGGCCCTGTGGAGATCAGTCAAGTTTGGCCTCTCCGTGGAACCATGTGGAAATCTAACCCATGGGCCTGGGAAATTGGCTCAGTGGTAGAGTGCTAGCCTGGCATACATGAGGCCCTGAGTTCGATTCCTCAGCACCACATAAGCAGATAAAAAGCTGGAAGTGGCCCTGTGGCTTAAGTGGTCGTGTTCTAGCCTTCAGCTAAAGAGCTGAGGGACAGCGCCCAGCCCTATGGGAAAAAAAAAATCTGTGCCACAGACATTACAATAAGGAAATATTGATATTTTAGGCCACTAAGTTTTGGGATGGTCCCTAGTACAGCATAAACATGAGTTCAGACAGCTACACTGAAGAGGGTGAGTTTGTGTATACGCATTTGTAAAGCTGTGAGTTGGTGTGATCCTTCTCATTTCTCATTTCCTCCTATTTCCTTGCCCATAGGTGACAGGTCTGGTTTGTACTTCCCAGGAGAATGCTAAAGATGTCAATGTGATGACATGGGACACAGCTAGAAAGGAACAGGAGGCAAGTGAGAGGAATGGAAGGAACAGATTTAAAGTCAGCAGATAGCCATGGGTTCTGATCGTGTAGCCCTTAGCACTTCTGACCTACAATAGAAAGGTTTACGAAAAGTCAGGTAGACCTTTGTATTTGAGGAGAGTTATTTACTCAAATTATACTTACTAATATTAACTGAAATATTTGGGTCATTCTCTGCTGCCCGGAGAATGAGAACAGACACACTGGACTCGGTTTGGTTTGTATCTTCTGCAAAAATGTTTTGAACAGAAGCCTGCACCTCACCTGCAGCACGCATTACGGATCTTGCTGACCCACTGAGAATGCTGCAAAGGAAAGGAGCCTGTCACTTGATGAACGGAAGAGCCAACAAATGAATAGGGTTTCAAATCTCTCAGCCCTCGTCCTGACTCATAGGCCTGACCCCTAACCAGGGTCCAAATATGGAGACCCAGTCCTGAACCATATTAATCTTTCACTATGAGTTTTTCAATTTCATGTGTACCTAGGGAAAATCTCTGGGGAAAACACAACAACAATGTCCCGTTGGAAAACTTTGTAGGAAAATCGTGGCTACTTATTTTTGGGAAAGTTGGGGATAACTTTGTTAGGTCTAGGAGCTTAGAGTTAACCAGATGTATGTGGAGGAATGTCTGACCAAATAGCTGCCACTCTCAGCAGGATGGTGACGATATAAGTTTCTCTCACTTCTTGAGACACCCTCTCAGCCTTTTTTCTTTCTTTTAGATAGGGTCTCATCTTTTGGCCTGTGGTTAGCCTTGAACCAAGATCCCACTATGCACAGTCTTCCATATGGTTGAGATTACAGGAAAATACCACAATGACCAGCTTATTGAGTGAGATGGGATGGGATTCCCATTAATTCTTGGCTTCAACTGTTGTAGAACCATGATTTCTCTGATCTTTGTCTCCTGAGAAGCTTGGGTTACAGGTGTGAGCTACCACACCTAATAAGAATAGATTTTAGCTGTGAAATATGTTCTCAGAGCAGCTCGGTGAATCCTCCAATCAGAAACCCATGCATACAGAAGGCTAATTGTATATGCTCCTGCCTTCTCCTGATCCACAAAGGATTGGACACACCTTTTACAAATAAATACAATAATAGACCAGAAAACATAAACACTCCACATGCTGCTTTTCTGTCCAGCTCCACTCATCTTTGTACATTCTTGGCTTGAAAGCTTGTGTATTCATGTGCTTCAGAGAAGGCTGAGGTGGAACTGCTAACTTCAAGAGAATTCACTTGGTCTCACATGCTGAATGCTCAATAAACACTGTTCTTACAACAGAAGCAGCTCACTACGAGCCCCTCAGTCATCCTGTGTGTCAGTGGGCAGGGTGTTCTCTGCCTGCAATGCACACTCCAAACAAGCTGGTCCAGATGATGCTCTGGACCACAGGCACAAGTTGCTGAGCAACCATCAGCCTCTTACCTTCTCTAGGCCACACCCTTCCATCCTGGCTACACAGTCAGTGTGACCTTAGCAGGGATGGCATGCACATTCCTCTCTGCACTGACCTGTCTAACCACCTTCTTGTACATGAGACTTGCCATGAGAAGACCTTCATGTCACATGGGGAAACTCAGAGGAAGACGAGAAATGAAGCAAACACCTCCGAGCCTCCAAAGCACCCAGCAGTCTAGAGCAGACTTACCTTACTTGAGCAATCACAGTCTGCTTATAATCAGTGTCCTTCAGTGCATCTGAAAACTGGGGAAAAGAATAGATTTAATAAAGTAAAACAAATTCAAACAGGATTATCTAGGTTTGGAACATAAAATTCTAAGGCCATTTAAGGTTCATGCAAAGTTCTTTTTTTTACTGTACTCTTCATCTTTAGACTTGAACTTCAGGCCTGAGCACTGTCCCTGAGCTTTCTTGCTCAAGGCTAGTGCTTTACTACTTGAGCACAGCTCCATTTTTGGCTTTTTGGAGATGAGAGGCTCGTGGACTTTTCTCCCTGGGCTGGCTTCCAATTGCAATCCTTAGATCTCAGACTCTTGCATAGCTAGGACTACAGGCATGAGTCATCTGAGCCACAGCAGTGCATAGCACTCTTCCATGTTGAGAATTATTTTACTTATTTAATTAATTAATCATAGCAGGAGCTACCAGGGCCAGCTCTTTTGATTTCTTCATTGGTTTAACTATTTATTGCAGTGCTCAGATTTCTTTAAAGCCTTGTGCATGCTAAGCAGGCACTCTCATACTGAGCTCCACCCTGATGGTAGAAGTTGAACCCAGGGCCCTTTCCATACTAGGCAAGGGTTCCACAGCCCCATTGAGCTGCATGGCCTGAAATAACTTACTTTACAATAGTGTTAGGCTCCTTATTCATCTAAATCTATATGAATGGTTTATACAACAATGGGTGAGGGTTGGCTAGAGCAAGAGTCCCAGGGCCTCTGCCATGCCAAGGGCTCTGCTTCAGGCAGAAGATCAAGGAGAAGCCCTGTGAATGGGCAAAGATGGAGGGGTGCCTTTCACTTTGTGAACCTCTGCAACAGAGTTGGTGTGCACCACCCAAAGACCCCACCCTCTCCAGCTCCACAGGAGAACCAACACTCATCTAGAGAAAGGAAGGTGGAGAATACTTACAAATGCATTGATTTTATCATGTAACTCTTGGTAATTCAAAGAATGTTCATCATCCAAGCCAGATGTGTCAGGCACTTTTAGTGTAATCTCTCTGAGGAATGTCGTTCCTGAAAATCAAGCAGAATCTCTCTGTAGTAGCTCATGGAAAAGTCTGTGGGACTTGATTCTGGCAAAAAGCCAGAAGCAGAAGTGTTGTGTCTTAAGTGGTACAAGACCAGATGAACGAAAATGCCAGGCGGACTTGCGTGCGGCCCACACTTGTAATCTTAGCTACTCAAGAGTCTGAGATTTGAGGGTCAGTGTATGTGTAAAGTCTATGAGCATCTCATCTTCAATTAACTGCTCAAAAACCACAAGTGGTGCTGTGGTAGCAACAAAGTGGTAGCATACTAGCCTTGAGCCATAAAGCTCAGGGGCAGCGCTCAGGTCCTGAGTTTAAGCCCCATGACCGAAAAAACAAACAAACAAAACAAAAGCAAAAAGCTAAGCAACACCGCCAGCATCTGAGCTCAAACCTCAGACAAAAAAAATTAAAAAGAAAAGCCCAGCTCCCAGTCCATGCATGTCCCATTATTCAACAGCACAGTGTAGATAGAGTCTTTGTGGTCACTTGGTCTTTGATAGTTTCTGTCACCCCACCCCGGAAACCTGGGAGGAAAGAACCTCATCTTCCCCAGACTTCCAGCCCAGTCTGCAATTCTGCTTTTGCCCCTCTCCTCTTCCACTGGGTGTCTGTTTGTCCAAGGTAATAACAGCCTTTTCCTCATATGGCTGGCCCTCGGAGGCCTCTACAGCTTTTTTCTTTTTGCTTCTCATATCCTAGACACTCTATTCACCATCGTCTCAAGTTTTCTCTAAAGCCCACTTAAGGTATGTGATGTGGAGCTCCACTATGCTCAGCCCTTGTAAATCACATTTTTTTTGTTGTCAGTTATGGTGCTTGAACTCAGGGCTTGGGCATTGTCTCTGAGCTTCTTTTGCTCAAGGCCAGCACTCTACCTCTTGAGCTGCACAGTGCCAATCCCATCATCTTCTGTGTTTGTGGGACTGAGGATCAAACCCATAACTTCCTGCATGCTAGCCAAGCAGTTTACCACTAAGCCACATTCCCAGCCCCTTGTAACTCACCTTTTGTGCAGTTTAGAGAGGTATAATAATATCCCTCCGGGCATTTGCAGATATGTGTGTTGTTTAGCTCCATGCAGGAAGCATCGCCACAGGGGTCCCCTTGGCACAGGTCACTGGGACCTTGGATGGAGAAGGAAGGGGTTAGAAATCCACAGAGATGATAGCAGATAACACTATAAACACGTTTTTCAACCTTCTTGCCTCTTTCCTATGCTCTCTTTACTCTCTGACTCTGTGCTTCCACCACACACCTCAGATAATCTAGAAACAAACACATGCTTTCTTCGGTCTCAGGAAGGTCCATTGTTGAAACTCTGAAGCCAAATCCTCACTGACAACACAGGCTAGAGAAGAATGGACAAAGGGCTGCTGAGAAAGAGACTTCAAATCAACAAACAAACAAAACAACAGCTAGCCAGGCACTGGTGGCTCCCTCCAGAAATCCTAGCTACTTAGGAAGCTGAGTTCTGAGAATCAAAGGTCAAAGCCAGCCTAGGCATAAGAGTCTGTGAAACTCGATCTCCAACTACAAACCAAAATGCCAGAATGGAGCTATGGTTGTCATGGGGTAGAGCAGCAGCCGTGAGTGAAAAAGCTAAGGGACCGTGCCCAGGCTCTGCGTTCAAGCTCCAGTACTGATACATACAAAATTTTTTTTCTTCTCATGCCAAGGAATCAAGACCCTTTAGATTTTCTGGGTGTTCTAGAAAATCTTTTAGAGCCCCTACAAACTTTTAGGGGAAAAAAAGGGTATGTTTTTTAAGGTGGCTGAATAATCATCTTGCAAGAAAGCATAGCCAAGAAGTTCGTAAAGGAAACTATACAGAATACTCTGATGAACATAGCTGGTTTATATACCTATAGGAAGCAAGGGAGGAAAAAGTAAAGGATAGAATATGGTGTGACGCTGGGCCCAGGTGACTCATGCCTGTAATCCTAGCTACTCAGAAGGCTGAGATATGAGGATTTTAGTTCAAAGCCATCTCTGGCCTGAAAGTCTGTGAGACTCTTATCTTCAATAAACCGCTCAGAAAACTGGAAGTGGTGCTGTGGATCAAGTGGGAGAGCATTAGCCTTGAGCTGAAGAGTTCAGGGACAGCGCTCAAGCCCAGAGTTTAAGACCCCAAGATCAAAAATAAATAAATAAATAAAACAAAAACAAAAAAAAGAATGTGGATCAACACAGTGACCTTTCCAAGGGAAGTGATCAGTCCAGCCTCTGGCTCTGATTGGACAGACTGAATAAATGGTGAGAATAACATGACAATGGTTTCCATAGCCCTGGCCTAGACTCCTTGGCCAGACAAGGCAGAAGATCTTTTCTTGGTCCCAGGACCTAGTGAGATCTGAGGAGGGAAGTTTGACAATTGGCCAAATGATCATTTTTTTGTTAGCAATTGTCATCATATGTGTCAGACAAAAAGATTCTAGGTTTTGTGTTTAGATTAGCTTAAGTGTTTGACAGCCTTGTGAGCTGCTGTAAGAGTCTCATACACTAGAAATGTAGAGGTGGTTGAACTCAGGGTCTGGGCACTGTCTCTGAGTT